TTATGTATGAAAAAGCGAACTGCAATTGAAAAGAAAGTGTATCTTCATTTATGTACAAACAAAAGTTAGACCCAATTACAATGGGGTTGACTCATTACACTACGGCTGGTCGGGGGGATCCTTCGAACCAGAACCCCTAGCCTGGTCGGGTCGTTGGGCGGCCGCGGCTACCTAATCGTCCTTCTCAGCCATGATCCGTAAAGTCTCTCGCCACCCCTCCGGGAGGTCGGAAATGTCCATATCTGGGTTCCTTAATCAGAGGGAATAAATAGACCCGATCGCCCAGTCGGCGGCCTTTTCCTCCAGCTCCTCTGACTGATTCCGCATTTCTTTAGTTAGAGAAGCGATCCTTTCACGACTCTCCTGGAGTTCAACCTCAAGAGCTCGCTTCTCCTGTTCGGACGCCTCCCTTTCCTGTTCAACTCGCTGGGCCCATATAGAGGTCGCCTGGATCTCCTGGTCCTTCTCCCCGACCACTTTGGAGAGCCTGGCGGTTGTCCTTTGGAGTTTGTTCACGTCCTCCGCACGTCGCTCAAGCTCCGCCTTTTGGAAGTCCACCGTTCGTAAAGCAGTATCCTTTTGGCTCAGATACCTGTTCGCCGCATCAAATGCTTGTGTTCTTTCAGCTTCGGCGGACTCCAGGCTTTTCTTAAGCTTCGCGACCTCCTCCTGTAGGTCGCTGGACCCCTTCGCGGCTCCCAGCCGAGTCCTCTCCATAGACATCCTCATCGCATGTAGAGTCTGCGAGCACAAAATGGTTAGAAATGAACCAGAACAAACTTTTAAGAACAGCTCGTTTACCTTGCTTAGATGCTGGAACGACGTGGTCATCAGGTCATCACCCGTGTCAGCGAACTCATCGTAAGACTTCGATAGTCCGCACTCGAGCAGAGAATAGACTATAGGCTGCAAGTACTCTGGCAGGCTCCCCAGCGAGTCCAGCACTGGTATGTCCTTCGCCTTGTCAGAGGTGATCGCCTCACTTGCAGGTTCCTTGCCCGACCTCCTTGAGTCCCTACGGGACCTCAAGGGCTCCTCCTCGGATTCGGTCTCAGACTCTTTGGCCTGAACCTGTTTCCTCTTCTTCGACCTTTAGGCCGGAGCCTTACGCCTTGGGCGTGCCGGTGGTGCCTGAGCGACCTGTTCTGGCCTGGTCGCTTCATGCACAGAGGGCTGCGAAGGTGCAGCAGTTCGCACCGGTTGTGCAGGAATAGGACGAGCAGCTTCGGCCACTCTCTCACTCCTTGATCGAGGGAAGATGAACGGTGCTCGGCGGGGCTGCTCGGATTCCTTTGGGGGCATAGTTTTTGCATGCAAGTGCGTTAGTAAACAAAACTGCTCCGCGGCCAGGACGGAAATCAATGTAACTTACCTTCCAAGGGTTCTAAAGATGCTTTGTTGCTGATAAAACCGTACTTCCGCAAGTTCGCGGTTGTCACGAGCTTTCTCGCGTCCCGACTTTCCTCATCTAGTACTCCAAAAGATACGAGCCTGTCTGGATCGTCAAGTAAGTCCTGGCTAGTCGCTCTGTTAACTGCAAAAGAATACAGGTCATTATCATAAAGCATGCGAGTAGGTTATATACCTAGCGAAGAAGAACCTACTTGGTGTCTGGAAGAGGCAGTAGCCGTCATAGCAGAAAAAGAAGAATTTCGTCTCGTAAGCCCCCGCGTTGCTGGGATAGCTATGTATCCCCTCGACGATGGGAGGTCGTCGGGACAAGTAATATGAATCCTTGTCCCTACTCTTTTTAAGGTAATAGGTGATGCCGAGCTCCACCGCCGTTGGCTCTCCCAAGCCGCTTTCGCAGCACGCGATGTACATCGCAACGGCGATGACATATGCGTTTGGTGTGAGTTGCATCAGTGCGATCCCGAAGTGATCCAGGACCGACCTGATGAAAGGATAGAAGGGAATCATCCCTCCACCCTTGAAGATCTCCTCGGAAATCGCAGCAAGGCCGTCAGCAGGGCGCTGTGACGACCTGGTATGGTCTAGGAACACCTCCGCGCGGATGTCAAACTGCTTTTTTATCCTATTAAGCTCTTCTTGGGTGAGAACCGAGAAGACATCAAGGGATGCGTCCTCGGGAACGTCCCGCGAGGACGAACTGGCCGCTTCCTCGGGTCTGGACGTTGACGGATCCATTCCAGAGTCTGCAACATCGACAGACACGGTCATTTAGGCCTTCGTGTTTTGTCCCGTGCAGCGGCAGGGGACAAATTCCTAAAACCCTAACAGTAACTCGAGCCGCCACCTATGGCTCGAGTCCGGCAACAGTGGCACGTCTCTGGTGGAACACCAGGAGACCCAACGCCGTTGCCCACCAACCAAACAAATGCAAAAAAAAGAAGAAGAAGAGAATCTTACCTTCTGGGATGCGTAATCGAGGCCGAAACTAGTTTCAGTTGCCTGAGAAGCGCCGATCGGAAAAGAATAATTTCTGGTTTGCAAAGGCTTGTCACTCAAAGCAAAAGGGGTTTTCGTGACCTCATCTGAAAAATGTGAGTTTTTATATGGATTGCGAATCGACGGTTACCACTTCTCGGAACCGAAACGACAGCCTCCTCTCTCCCCCCGCATTTAATGCGCGCCACGTCACATTAAATGCCGTAATAGGAGTCGTCGTTTCAAGTGCGTCGTGTAGTAAAAGTTGTCGAAACGATGCCGAGTCAGCACAACGCATTTAATGCTTCTGGCAGACACTGCAGCGCGTGCAGAGCGCCTGACAGCGTGGATGCAGGTTCTTTGAATCTCTCCAAGGCACGTAAAAGAGCGTCCGACGAATCCAGGTCGTTAAAATGACGATTGTCAGGTCGTTTGGGCGAGAACTGTGTGAGGTCGTGTTCGCCGAAGGTCGTGTCCCGAGTTTCTTCTATTCAGGTCAGAACAACCAAAACCTCCAACCGTAGCATGACTTAGTTTCCAAGGTTCGACCCTCAAACCTTACAAACTAGGGGGCTCCTGTTATGACTAAGAAATCAAAGGCTAACATGGAGTTGCGTGACGAAACGTGGCCTGCTCCCGTCAGAACGGTAAGCGCACGTCAAGCCTGCCAAACGCGCTGGTGCTCCCACGTGTCCGCTAACATGCTCCAAATCGCGTGAAATCGGCTTGAAAAATGGGTAATGGGACATAAAATCAGATTAGGTCCTGACAATCACACCAACCCAAGGATTTAGTGATGATTACGCACATTCAACTGGGTATAAGAAGAGGAAGACCCCTTCATTAAGGGGATTCGACAATTTTACATAAAAAACTCTCTCTCTCTCTCTCAAGCTTTGGTATCTATTTTCCAATCATTTGTAAGTCAGTCCGCTTTAGCGACCTGACCCACCATATCAATACAAATCAGTGGATGTAGGACTTGCTACCTTAGCATCCGAACCACTTTAAAAGCTCTCGTTACATTTATTTCGCTTTCGATATTCNCATCGGTGCGATCCCGAAGTGATCCAAGACCGACCTGATGAAAGGATGGAAGGGAATCATCCCCCCACCCTTGAAGATCTCTTCGGAGATCGCAGCAAGACCGTCGGCAGGATGTCGCGACGACCTGGTGTGGTCGAGGAACACCTCTGCTCGGACGTTATACTGTCTTTTAATCCTATCAAATTCTTCTCGGGTGGGAACCGAGAAGACTTCAAGGGACGCGTCCGCGGGAACTTCCCGCGTTGACGAGCTGGTTTCTTCCTCGGGTCTGGACGTTGACGGATCCATTCGAGTCTGCAACATCGACAGACACGGTCATTTAGGCCTTCGTGTTTTGTCCCATGCGGCGGCAGGGGACAAATTCCCAAAACCCTAATAATAACTTGAGCCGCCACCCACGGCTCGAGTCCGACAACAGTGGTGCGTCTCTGGTGGAACACCGAGAGACTCAATGCCGTTGCCCACCAACCAAACAAATGCAAAAAAAAGAGAGGAAAAAGAGAATCTTACCTTCTGGGATGAATAACCGAGGCCGATACTCGTTTCAGTTGTCTGAGAAGCGCCGATCGAAAAAGAATGGTTTCTGGTTTGCAAAGGCTTGTCACTCGAAGCAAAAGGGATTTTCGTGACCTCATCTGAAAAATGTGAGTTCTTATATGGGCAACGAACCGACGGCCGCAACCCCTTGGAACCGAAGCGACAACCTTCTCTCTCCTACCCGCATTTAATGCGCCCCACATCGCATTAAATGCCATAAAAGGGGCTGACGTTTCAAATGCGTTGTGCAGCCCAAAAGCTGTCAACACGACGTTGAGTCAGCACACCACGCATTTAATGCACCTGACACATTACAGTGCGAGCAGAGTGCCCGACAGCGCGGATGCAGATTCATTGAATCTCTCCACAGCATAGAAAGGAACGTCCGACGAATCCAGGTCGCTAGAATGATGGTCATCAGGTCGTTTGGACGAGGGTGGCTCGAGGTCTTGCTCGCAAAGGATTCTGCACCGAGCTTCTTCCATTTAGGTCGAAATGACCAAAACCTATCACGGCACGAGTTAGTTTCCAAGGTTCGACTCTCCAAACCTTACAAACTAGGGGGCTTCTGTTATGTCTGGGAAAGTAAGGACTGACGTGGGAGGGTCACGTGAAGAATGACCTGCTCCCGTCAGAACAACAAACACACGTCAGGCCTGCCAAACGATATGGAGCTCCCACGCGTCCATTTCCCTGCAGTAAACCGTGCGAAGTCAGCTTGGGAAGAAGGTGATGGGACATAAAACCGGATTATATCCTGACAATCACACCAACCTATGGATTTAATGATGATTACACGCTTCAGCTTGATATAAGAAGAGGAAGACCCCTTCATTAAGGGGATTCGACCATTTTTTACAAACATCAGTCTCTCTCTCTCCTGTAAACAACACATTTACTTTTTCCTAAACCTCTTGCAAGTCAGTCCGCTGTTGCGACCTGACCCACACTATCACTATCAATACAAATAAGTAGACGTAGGACTTGCTACCTTAGCATCCGAACCACTTTAAAATTTCTCTTGGCATTTACTTCCTTTTTGACTTACAATCACGTGTGTTTCTTGGCCAATTAACACTGCACACGTATCGATTAGTTGGTGCCCAAATTCGAGCATCAACAAAAGGCAATCCAATAGTCAAAAGCATTGATCGCTTCTTAGGACCTATTCGGGGAAGCTTAGGTAGTTTAGAGAGGAGGAGTTCTTGCGCTTGACCATTCATTTTGAAACTCCAACCCAAAACATAATGAGATGTTAACAACTTACCGTTGGCCGACGAGAAGCCAACAAACATGTTTTCGTTAAAAATAGTAGAAAGATCCCTTGACAAAGAGATAAGTGGGGAAATGGGCTTACCGCTATTGAATGGAGCTAAAGTGACTTTAATTTGCTTTTCCTCACCGTTGTATTCTACCCAAACTTGAATTTTCTGTCTAGTAAGTGTCAATTTCTTGAAGTCACCGGTTTGATTTTCATAATAACCAGCTGGAGCTGATTTCACAGACTTCAAACCGTTAATATCGATCCCTATATGGTTATCATTGGTTTCAAGAAACTCTTCATTCAGTTGCGTATCGATTTCTACAGCGAAAACATGATTACCAAAATTTCCGTCGTTCCTTTCATTAAAAAGGCCGAGGTACTGATTCGGAAGAGCAAGTGGGAGCCCTCGAGTGGGTGCAATGACGAAGGCCATACCATGGCCGGAAAATTCCGAATATTTTGGGTGGATAGCGAAAACAAAAGTGGTAGAGAAAGAGAAAGCATGGCCATTTGATGAATTCTTGAAGGATATTGGGTTAGGGTAAAAGGCGTGTCCGTTTTGGTTTCTGGTTTTGTTGGTAAGCTGCAGAACTCCATTGTTGGTGAATTCCGCTATGCCATCGAGGCTCAGGTTAGCGGATGGGAACCCATTGTAGATGAAACCAAAATTATCATCCGTCGCTACTGAGCTACAAATTACGACAAGGAGAGACAAGAGTATTGGGAGTTTGAAGAACATGGCTAGCTAGGCTATTGCTCACACTGTGCTCTTCTCTGATGCACAAGGCGGCATATATAAGAATTCCTTTCTGTTGTACTATCTCACGACTGAGGGAATTACAGGGTTCAGACACGTCTCACCCGTCAAACAAACACATCCTGAATAACGTTGGATTGACGCATTCCATGTTTTGATATCGTTGACGTAAATGTTAGGCGGTCTGTCATTGAGAAGGGAACCAACACGGAGACCGTGTGGCGGGTTTGGCCGGTCCCGCGTTAACACGAGTCAATGGAATTGGGGACCTTACGGCTTACATCATGAAGAAGGAGAAGTGAAATTACTATGTTGATTGCGAGTTAACCATGAAAGTCTTTTGGAGGGGAGGGGATGGATTAGCTACTATGGTCTTCATTTGGTATTTTAGGAGCAGCTTTGCGTTGATTAAACGAAAGTCGGCCGAAACAAAAGGAAAAGGAATACATGCAGTACTCAGATTTTTAAGCGATTCTGACGTTTGATCGACAATCCCGTCTTCAATTATAAACATGGTTAAATGTAACTAGATTTATTTAATCCCGTATTTATAACTTTACCCTTATTATTAAATAAAACGAAAACCATAGTATCAAAATGATCCCATCTGATTTTGTAGTACATATAATATATTGTCATGTTGTAGTCAATACTAATAGTCTATGCATGACGTACAAATAAACTTTACCATACAATTAAGGAAACGGGGAACTAGATGTTATTTGCTTTGTAATGAAGGAAAATAGTTTGAAAGAAAGATTAATGACAGATCAAGCTTTGTATACTGGAGATATTACAGGGATTTTCTTTTTTAAGTAGTAATGAAATCGATGCATATCTGTACCTTGAAATCCCCCAAATTTTTACTTCTTCAGTACTTTCTAAGGAGTTCTCTCATATTCATATATGAGCTCTATGGGCTTTATTACAGACTAAAGTCACACACTTAACCAAATGAAAGAGGCCCGTCTTATTTGGGCTGAGTGCAAATGGCAAATGGAAATTACAATTAAGTATTGTTATTTGAGCCGGTGAGCCCATCAAAACTTTTTTCAAGAAATGTTTTAATAACCAATTCGAGGTGAAACCCGACAAAGTAGTCAAGTCCCAGGTTGACCGGTCAAATCGGGTGATAAAAATTTTAAATTTAGCAAGTACACTTCTAAAAATTACAGTTAAGTTCTCATAGGTTTGAAATTTAGCAAACACACTCTAAATACAAATCGGTGGTCGACTAGTTGGCAATGCCGACACATCAAATGCAATCTCAACCATCTCTTAAACCCATTCCCCATAAAATCTAGCCAATACTTGGCTGAAATCAGTTCGATTTCAACAAGATCTCACCAATGTCGACATTGACATTCCAGGCGAGATCTCATTGACGCCAATGTTGACAACCCTCCCCATCACCACGAAATACTCTCCTCAACCTCCTGACCAAAACCCACCTCAGCTCACCCCCGTTAGCCTCGCCAATCACCGGCAAAAGCCAGTTGTCTTTGCCACCTTTTTTTTTTTTTTTTTCGGTCGATTTACTCACTAGAAATCAACTCCATTGCCACAATTGCACTCGCTGACACTTTCTTTTCAAAAGCTCCAACATCTTGACCTTCAATTGTTTGCTGGTTATCATCCCAATTCTACGGTTTTTAGTGAATAATGAAACAGGTAATCTGACCCAGTGAAAACCCTAGGTCCTAGTTAAACCGATTCAACCGACCAGACCGGGTTTTAAAACACTGTTTTCAAATACCATAGTAAATAAAATTCATTAAATAAATTTAAATATATATTCTATTCAAAATAACATTCAATATTATTTAGAATTGTTTTAAAGATAGAAAATACAATTTAAAGTCAATGATCACGTGGAAGTGGAAGGGGCAAGTGGAATTTAGCCATTTACAGCAGACGACATTGACAAAGGAGCCGTGTTGTTATGATGTTATCCAAAGGAGCCCATCTACCTGTAGCCGCGGCGGCTACAGTTCGTATGATAGCATTCAAAAAGCAGACATCACATTATTAATTACTTCTTGAGATGGCATGGCGAGGAGTTAAATTTCCATGAAAATTCAGTAAGATTACAAAAATAGCATGGATGCCTAAATTCTTCTTATTAACATACACCATTTTTTTTCTTACAGACACCAGTAGCGCTACATCTAAGAAAGTGTGCAGTAAAATGACATTAATCCATCATATACATAAATTAAATTATGTAATTATAAGATAAATCTTTTAAAGCATCACCGACCACCTGAAAGTAGTGAATCGGCAATGGAAGAGGATCCTGTTAGGCCCATGGTAGATGGATATGACATAGCAAAATCATCAAAACCTTCACCATCTGTGAATGTTAGGCCAGTCGCTGAAATTCCAAGAGATGATAACTCCGGCAAAGGGGTATCCTTCTCTAAATACTGCACAATCTGTCTCATGCTTGGCCTTGCTGTTGGCTCCGAATGAGAGCACATCAACCCAAGTTTCAACACCAACTCCAATTCCTCAACTACATAATCTGAACCCAGATTTTGATCCCTTGCCTCAAGAATTTCACCTCTACACCAAAAACCAAAAACCCAGTCAACCAATATCTCGACATCCTCCGATTCCGCTCGTGGCTCTATTGGCCTTCTGCCACATGCAACTTCAAGCAAAAATGCACCAAAAGCAAATACGTCAGTGCTTCTTGTTGCCTTCCCCGTTCGAGTGTGCTCTGGAGCAAGATAACCAAGAGTTCCAACCACATGTGTTGTTTGTGGATCAGTTCCGTGATCGTATAATCTTGCAAGGCCGAAATCCCCCAACCTTCCATTCAATTCACCATCAAGCAAGACATTACTGGCCTTGACATCTCTGTGAATAACAATTTGTTCCCATTCTTCATGTAGATAATATAGGCCCAAAGCAACGCCTTTGATGATTCGAAATCTTTGTCTCCAATTGAGGCTGACCTCTGGTTGGTCATACAGGTACTTGTCAAGGCTTCCATTGGGCATGTAGTCATATACCAAAAGCAATTCTCCTTTACGCCGACAATAGCCCAGGAGTTGTACTAAATTCCGATGACGAAGGCGGCCAATACTTACAATTTCTGCTACAAATTCTCTCATCCCCTGTCTTGATTCATGAGAGATTCTCTTCACAGCAATCTCCAGTTTAGAGCTGGGTAGTACACCTTTGTATACCCTGCCAAAGCCACCACTACCTAATAGCCCCTTATCTTTAAACCCTTTGGTTGCAATGTAAAGATCTTTGTATTTGAATCTTTGAGGCCCATACTCAAGCTCCCATTCTTCAAGCACTTCAGCGAACTTTCTTTTCCTTCTTATCACATAAGCTACACCTGAGACTGCAGCTAAAATCAAGCTTGCCAAAATCACAGGCAGCCCAATTGTCAAAAATTTTGATCTCCGTTTAGGACCAATTCGAGGAAGCTTAGGAAGCTGAGAAAGAGCAAGTTCCTGTGCTTGGCCATTCATCTTAAAACTCCAACCCGAAACGTAATGATTTGTTAATACCGAACCGGTGGAAGATGAGAAGCCAACATACATGGCGTTGTTAAAAATGGGTGAAAGATCATACCTCAAAGACAAAAGTGGAGTTCTGGGCTTACCACTGTTGAATGGAGCTAAAGTAACATCAATCTTCTTCTGATCACCATTATATTCCACCCAAACTTGCATTGGTTTACCACTAATAAGGGTCAAGTTCTTAAGCTGACCAGTGCGATCTTCATAATAAGCTGCTGAAGCTGATATCTCAGACTTGAGCTGATTGATATCAATCCCCACATGGTTGTCATTGATATCGAAAAACTCACTACTCTGGATGGTATCGAGTTCTACGGCCAAAACATGATTGCTGGCATTACCATTGTTTTTCTCGTTAAAAAGGCCTAAATACTGACTTGGACGAGCACCTGGGAGCCCCCTTGTTGGTGCAACCACAAAGGCGATACCGTGTCCGTTAAGAGTAGGGTACTCTGCTGCGTGGATCCCGAAAACAAAGGTAGTAGAGAAAGAGAAAGCTGAGCTATTTGATGAAGAATTCTTGAAGGATATTGGGTTAGGATAAAAAGCATGGCCACTCTTCTGTCTGGTGTTGTTAGTGAGTTTCAAGAGACCATTGGAAGTGAACTCGGCTATACCATCAACGGTTAGATTAGCCGATTGGAACCCATTGTAGATGAAACCGAGAGTTTCATCTCCTGCTGCTAAGCTGGTAAGGAGAGAAATCAGAATCGCAAGTTTGAATAACATGGCTAGGCTGTTCTCCATTAACCCATTCGCTCTTCAAATGGTTTTCACAAGCTTTATAATAATAAACAAGGCAGCGTTTTTGTCAGGTTCCTTATCGCTTAAATCGGTTGTGGGTCACGCTTTTCCCCCATCAACCGTCCACATGAATCCCACCGAGATATCATAACCATTGGATGGTTACTTAATATAAAGAAAGACTACTACATAAGTATAGTCTGTTAATTACTGTTGAAGGAAGGAAGACCATGGTATTGCTAGCCCTAACTTAAATGGACTAAACACAATAATTAATAGCGTTTAGGTATGTTGAGAATATTTAATTATAGATACTGTCCTAGTGATTTTGACAGAGACGCCGCCAGAGTGGAGCATTCAAACTGGGTGCTGGTGCTGTCATTATCAAAGTGTAGGTTTGATTGTTAGGTGGAGCTTTCGGAAGGCTGGGGAACCAATCAACCACATTCCATTCCCAATTGTCCGGCGCCATACGGAGACCCATTAAATTCAACGACCTCGAAATCGACAAATTTTCATTTTGAAATTGCTCAAATATTAATGAACTGCTACTGCTACTTGTCCACTGCGTCATGTTCAACGGCGACTCTGATTTTGGAATTTTGTAGAAGTACCTTCTTGGCATGCAATTATGTTTTCTTTTCTCACCAGCACTCATCTCTTTACTTGTTTATTCGGTCAATCTTCGCATGGATTAGTTTTACAAAGTCGATTGAAGATAGGATCGCTTATTCTGTACAAGTTATTTGTTTTATTAATTGTAATTTATAAGTTTGAGTAAACAGACATGTTCCCACCCGAGGTTTAGCTAAATGGCAAGTTAATACCTTAGTTTTATTTATTTCAGATTCATACCTTTAAAGTAACATCGTTGATTTGGTGGTGATGGGGCAATCGCTGGGTGAAGACTTTAATCGAGCAGGTTATGGGCACTAATTTGGACTTTGATTTCTGACTATTGGGGAGTCACCATCGACCAAAAAACACATCACAACAATCAGCTGATGGCAGAGAAGCTGGTGGTGAAGTCTAGAGAGGTCGGTTTTACCCAAATTGCTTGGAAAAAGCTTGAGAAGTAACCAAATCTCACAAGATGACAAGAATGGAGATAGTGGAAAACGGTGAGTGAGATTGGCAAGCAAAGGTATGGGTTTTATAGAAGAGGTTGTGGAGAGTCCAATAATGATTTCGGAAGTGATTTTTCACTTTAGAATCAACCAGAAAAAGCCAAAAACCGTCAACTTGAACTCTACTAACATGAGTCTACCTCTTGTCAAAGAAAGGGCCGATGCATTTTAGTATATTAATGTGCATCTTGCTATAGTATATATCACTAAAGTGCACTTAGCTACAGTGTATATGACCATCTTAGTAGATAATGTTACTTTAAGGGTAAGAATTAGATAAATAAAATTAGAGGTATCAACTTGACATTTTGCTAAACCGGTGGCAGAACATATGTCGTTCACTCTTATAACTTATAATAAAATAAAATAAAAAATCCTTGTTTTCTTAATTTTGCACAAAAAGTCCAATGCAATCTCGTTTTTGATGTGACAGCGTGTGTTTCCTAATCCTCACGTTACTTATATCAATGTCAAGAGACTACAAGTTCTTAGTAAATTGATAACTATAAGGTAAGAAATGGATTGTATAGAGATTTCTATGAAGTTTTTTATTAATTAATTAATAGAAATGCTTCTCTCATTACCTCATACGTTGGATTTAAATACGAGAATTTGTATGATATGATATTGTTTAGGAAAAAATTTGTCATTTGAGAAGATTCTGATTAATGGTATCATTCCCCCTTCCATACCACTGCTTCGAGAAATTATCAACACATCATCCTTTGACCCGCTTTGACCATACATTTTCAATTCTGTACTAAGCAATAAAATTAATTTCAAAATCAATCAATTAATAAATTTATAACTCCATATTGCGGGCTTTCAAAAAGTTTTGAGACTTCAACTATTGGTAAATCACACTAAGAATTTGTTGAACCAAAAACAAAATTTTGTTTTTTTTATCTTTGGAGGTGTCCACACCAATTTATATGCACATCAACTAATCCTACAAACTTTGGAACAGTAAAGCCTTGAAATTGTGTTCTAGTGGTCACCCCTATTAGTGGCTTGGGAGACTCGAATTTAAGAGCTCATAAAACTTTCTTTTGCTCTTTTAACATAAGAGTACCCAGTGATATTTACAAAATATTAAAGTTATTACTATGCAATTGTCGGATCATCTTCAACCCATTGTTTAAGGTATGGGTTTATTATTGTTATTATTATTTTTGCAGAATTTTAATTTTAATTTTTTTTTTTGTTATTTATATATTAGTGATTAATTAGACTTAGGTTTTTTATTGGTTTAATTTATATTTATGAGATGAAAACATATTAAGTCCATTCTTCGGTTAATTAACAGTTTATTTTAAAAAATGGGTAGCATGTGATAGTTTTTCAAACTAGGGGTAGAAAATTGTTCACCAAAACTATTGGTGGGAACAAGTATTTGGCAATCAAATCAATAACCTACCGGTTGATCTCATGTGATATGTACTCAAATAATAAATTTAAGACAACTATAGTCAACTTTAATGTATGACATTCAAAATAAACTCCTATGAATAAAATATATTAATATTGAAGATAAAAAACTAGACTTTATAATACAGATATTAGCTTGTCCTAGGATGTATTATCCCCATGGTGTTGCAAATATTGTTTTAAATTGTATTACATATATGGAATGAAACTGGATGGAAAGAAGAAGGTAGGTTGAATCTTGAAGATATACTTAACCAAAAAAAAAAATCTTGAAGATATTATACAATATTATGTAAGATACCAAGTGTCAATTATATTTTGATCCGATATACACCTTTAAACTTTCTTTCTATATTTTAAGAAAGGCCGACACGCAGCCACCCATATTTTATCGTAAACAAATTTGGTACCCATAAAATTTGAAAATGACAATTACCTTCATTCCATCCAAATCTGTTTATAAAATTCCTTTAAAGAAGACAATATTGGCTCTGTTTGGTTCAAAATTTGGGGGTTTTGGGAAAAGTTTTTTGAAAAAAGTTAAAAAAAAGTTGAATTAGACAGGTATTACGATGTAAGATTTATAAATTAATAAAATACCCTATATATTTATTTTTTACAAAATATCCCCTATAACAAAACATTAAAAGTTAACAAAAATACCCCTAACCCACCCTCAAACACCCCCAGTCGGCCACCACCACCGGAGGTGGCCGAAGTCACCTTATGGGCGCATGACCGGCTAGATCTTGCCGGTCATGCGCCGATATGGCCTTTTCCGGCCAGATCCATAGTGGATCTGGCTGGCAAAGGCCAGATCTACGGCCAGATCTGGCCGTCAACCGCCAGATCTGGCCGTCAACCGCCAGATCTGGCCGTATTTGCTCTCAACAACGGTTGATGGTCAACGACGACCGTTTGTTGGCCGTCGTGACCGACTGTTACGGCCAACGGCCAGATCTTTGGCCTTAGATCTGGCCTTTTTCGGCCAGATCCACCGTGGATCTGGCCGAAAAAGGCTAGATCGGCTCACAGCCGGCTAGATTCAGCCGGTAGTGTGCCATCCTAACAGATTCCGACCATTTTCCGACAGTGATGGCCGGAATCTGGTAAACATGGATTACTGGGGTATTTTTGTAATTTTTTAAAAAATATTTAGGGGTATTTAATTAAATTATAAAATTTAAGGGGTTTAAAAAAAGTTGAATAATATTGGGAGTAGTATTCCAAAAAATCTGAGTTTTTGGGTATTTTACTGTTTAACTTTTTTGGGAATACTAAAAATAGTATTCCCAAAACTGAAACAAACGAAGCCATTAATTTTATAAAAATCTTCTTTATCAATTTTAATTATTTTATTTTAATTATTAATTTTAATTAAAATTCCGTCTTCATCTCTCGCCAGAACCAAGACAACAGCCAGCAAAAACGACTGATGCCCCCAAAAAACCTCACTCTGACAATCACCAAAAGATTCAATGCAAAAAAAAAATCTTGAAGAACCACTCTCAAACACTCAAAATAGCCAAAACACGCAAGGCACAGAAGTGCAGGCGGGTGTGCAAGCGAAGCCTTGGTGTGGTTGGGGCAAAACCTCGAACAGGTGGTGTGCTAAAACCTGGAAAATCAATCACCAAAGCCAAAACCGATCAGAAATCCCCAAAAATCAAATAAAAACACACACCAAAAAAAAAAAAAAAGCACTCTTAATTAAAATCTCCAACCATCAATTTCCAATCAGACACTCCGAAAAACATCAATCAATCCCAATTCAACAAACAACAAAAACCCTAGGGATTCAATCAGCTGTGAAAGGTGGGCAAACGATGACAAGAAAAATGGGGGTTTTGGAGAGGGCAAACCGAAAAGATGATTGGCGGGGAAAGGAAAGGTTTCTGGTGACGGGGGCTTCCAAAAAATGGATGGGGAAGTGCAACAGATAAGAGGGATAGAATAAGAGAAGATAAGAGAGAGAAGAAGAAAAAATATCGAGGGTATATTTGGGAGTTTTATGGTAGCGGTTACAAGGATAAATCATTGTTACCCACTGCAGTGGTTTTGATATATTTTTAGTAACGGTTTTCAAAACACCCAACTTGTGTTTGGAAGTTTATTTTCCAGTGGTTTTGACAGTTTTTTAAAATGATAAATTTATATATATGTCCAAAAAAATACCACACCTTCAACCAATACTTAAGAGTTTTGTTTTTTCAATTATAAGATAAGGATTTTTTATTTATTTTCTATTTATTAATATTTTATAACTTTAATGTGATAAAGTTTCCTTATCCTTTTTTGTCATTCTTTGCAACATCTAAATGATTGAAAAATTGTAGCTCCACTTCTCCAAAAAAAATCTAAAAATGAGATTTTAATAATTTTTTTTTTTTTTATGATTGTTTCAAATTATTTTATATTTAATATGGTTAGAAACGCACATTATATGGTTAATTTTTTTTGATATAATTGGGATAGTTTTGTAGCGGATAAAGTATTTGTGGAACAAAATTTTAAAATCAACCAAAACACCCTGATTTAGGTGTTTTATAAATTCCTTAAAAATACATTATACTGGTTCTGGGGGTTTTTTAAGCTAGTTAAAACTAGTACATAAAATATCTGATAAATAATGGTTTTAGAATACCTCAAAACCAGTCTAATTAAAAACCCTCAAAACCAGTAGAAAAAAAAAAAAAAAAACTTCTAAGTAGACCATAAGAGATTTAGACAGATTCTTTTATTTTTTTTTTTATGCAAAAACCCATAAACATAAAATGAAAAAATTACCCTACAAAGATGATAGAATATCGATGGAAAGCGGGTAATTATTATTTTCAAACTTTTACCAAATACGGCATCCTCTGAGTGAGAAGATGTCTTTCGGCGGTTTAAGAAACTAGCGGGTTAGTCTTTTTCTTGTCTCATGTTATATTTGACCCTACAGATATCAATTTTACCCTTATTATTCATTCTAAAAAGACTTACCTTTCAATGATGGAGTAAACGCTCCCACCCAAGGTTTAGCTTAATTACACTTTTCACCCAAAAAAATTAAAATGCCACTTTCTCACCCAAAGTTAATATTTCGTTACTACTCAAAGCCGATTACTACTGATTCTGATGACAAAAATTTTCTCTGTCACTACTATTTAAACCTCCGGTCTCCTCTATATAAAACCTTTCTCACTTCGACACGTAATTTCACTTTGATTTTTAGTCATTGTAAAGCTAAGGTTGTCTGTTTTTAGTTGATTTTTAGCTAATATTAGTGCAAATATTCAATCAGTCATCACTATTCGATCCACCGGCCTCCATTATACAACAACTCTTTTATCATAACTCTTGATAACTCGCTGAATACCAGCTGAGAAAGTGAAGTGTATTTTGAATATTAACAAAATATAAACTTTGAGTGGAAAAAGGGTGTTTTACATTTTTTTTTTTTTTTTAATGAAAGTATCATTAAGGCAAACTTGAATGGGAAAAAGTCGTCTACTCTTTAATGATGTCTATTGTTAGTGAGATTTTACCGTCGTGCCGACAATTTAAATAGAGTGAATGGATCTTTTTTCTTTCATACAATGACATTATCTATCATTAAAAGCGACATTAATTTACTTTTATTATGTTAATAGTTGAATTAATAATTAACGTGTTTGAAAAGTATTTCTATAAAAAAGAAAAATTTGTATTGAATTGAAGACTTTGACACAGACAAATCACACCTATGAAAGAATTTTGTACCCCTAAACCCTATCTCTTTGTCTCTATAATCAGATTATTTGACTCTGGCCATGGTGAATTTTAGGGATAGTTTTGTCTTTTTATTCTTGGTCTTCTTCATAAAATTAGGCAAAGTCTGAAAATAATTGAACGGAAAATAAGAGTTTCTGTTATGATTCTTCGCTGCTGGTTTTTTCTGACATTTAACTCACTCATTGTAACTTCAAATGCTCGTGTAAATTGCTTTGGAAAACGAAAGTTATCTTTAAATTTCATTTCATATTAAACAAACTCTCAAAAAGTTAATCCAAACTCAGGGTTCGGCAAAAAGCCCAAATGTCTCAAAACAGATTACCAAATTTGGTCCAAGCTTCTTGGGTGCATATTCGTGGCAAAGAGGAAAGACAAACACAGCTACTTAAAACCCTTTTGAAAATTCTCCCTAATTTTATTTGTTAGTGTGGGAGTTGTCAACTACTTCAACATTAATGAGCCACACAAATACATTTGAGAGTCTCGTTGACTGGTCAGTGGGCAAGGGTGCAGGGGCATAGCCCCTAGCCCGTAGGTAGTTTAAGTTTTTTCTAAGTATAATTATTGAAAGATTTCTTTAAGTTATTAATTTTTCATTAGGTTTGAGTTTAAGAATATAGATATTTATAATACTAGGTTTTAGTCTTTTAAACATAGTTTATAAATATTTTTTTCTCTTGTAATGAATTATAGCAAATAATAGAACAAATTCATTTATTATAAACAAGAGAGGTGAGATAGTACTGAAATAATACCAGGATAAATCGCGCGTATTACTTTTTTTTTCTTTACTGTTTATGTCTGTGTGTTTACTATTATCTTGGTTTCGTATTAATCTCTATTTCATTCAGTTAGCCATTGATTTTGGGATTTGTTTGTTGGATCTGAAAATGGTAAGATAGATTTTTGTTAGGATTTATGACTTGTGGATTTGTTTTTCTGTTTTTTGGATTTGAATTGAAAGAGGTGTTAGCTATTGTGAGTGTTGATTTCATTATTTTTTAAGTTGTGTTTTTTGATATTGGACATTGGCTTGAGGCGTTAGTGGTAGTGATACCTTGTTTTGCTTTTGTTGGTGGCATTGCGGTGGCTGTTAATTTCAGTGACGGTGAGTTAGCGTCGAGGCTTTGGTGGGTGGGGCGGGGAGCTTGCAGAGATTTAGGGTGGAGCTGGTGTAGGTTGGTTTTTGCTTTGGGGTGGGCTTGGTTGTTGCGGTGGCGTTACTGGTAGCCTAAGGGATGGAGTGGCCGTTGCTCGTTATTTTGTTTTTTAAATTTTGTAAGATTTATTTATTGTTAAAAGACAAAAAAAAAACCCTTACGTTGTTTTATACAGGGACTATTGTGACATTATCTGATTTCACTGGATGAACAAAATACTTTCTCCAAACCTCAGGGAGGAAAATATTATCAACTCTTCCTAAGAAAAAATTTCATTTCATTTGGTATCTCATAATGCCAATGTAATTAATGCAACTGATCCGTTGATTATGAAAACTGGGCCTTCTAATTGTAACCTAAAAATACATTTTGAGGCGCAAATCAGCTATAAATGAATCAAAATGGCAGGCCAAGCAAGAAAAGAAAATTCCTGTGTCGTGATGCAGAGCAGTTACCAAATAAATGTTCTGCTCACTTCAATTTTGCTTCTTTTATTTATACGATTAATAATCTTACTTGAGTTCCCCAGTTCAGAAATTTGAAAATGCAGTTGCTACAAACTTAAATTACAAATTGAAGTTTTCAGATTCATCGGCCACCCGAAAGTATGGATTCTGCAATAGAAGAAAAGCCTGTGAGGCCCGTAGAAGATGGATATGACATTGCAAAATCATCAAAACCTTCACGATGTGCAAACGTCAACCCACTTGCCGTAATTCCGAGAGCTGATAACTCTGGCAAAGGGACATCCTTCTCCAAATACTGCACAACTTGTCTCATGCTTGGCCTAGCTCCTGGCTCTGTATGAGAGCACATCAACCCAAGTTTCAACACCATCTCCAATTCCTCACCTGCATAATCTGTACCCAAATTTGGATCCCTTGCCTCAAGAATTTCACCTCTACATAAAAAACCAAAAACCCAATCAACCAATATCTCGACATCCTCCGATTGCTGTCGTGGCTCTATTGGCCTCCTGCCACATGCAACTTCAAGCAAAAAAGCACCAAAAGAAAACACGTCTGTGCTTCTTGTGGCCTTCCCCGTCCGAGTGTGCTCCGGTGCAAGATAGCCAAGAGTTCCAACCACGTGTGTTGTTCGTGGATCAGTTCCGTGGTCATACAATCTTGCAAGGCCGAAATCTCCCAACCTTCCATTCAATTCACCATCGAGTAAGACATTACTAGCCTTAACATCTCTGTGAATGACAACTTGTTCCCACCCTTCATGTAAATATAATAAGCCCTGAGCTACCCCTTTGATGATTAGAAATCTTTGCCTCCAATTGAGGGTGACCTGTGGTTGGTCATACAGGTACTTGTCAAGACTTCCATTAGACATGTAGTCGTACACCAAAAGAAGTTCTCCTTTACGCCGGCAATACCCCAAGAGTTGTACCAAATTCCGGTGACGGAGGTGACCAATACTTACAATTTCCGCAACAAATTCTCTCATCCCTTGTCTTGATTCATGAGAGATTCTCTTCACTGCAATCTCCAGTTTAGATTTGGATAGTACTCCTCTGTAGACCCTGCCAAAGCCACCACTACCTAATAGCTCCTTTTCTCTAAACCCTTTGGTGGCAACGTAGAGATCTTTGTATTTGAATCTCTGAGGTCCATATTGAAGCTCCCAATCTTCAAGGACTTCAGCGAACTTTCTTTTCCTTCTTATCACATAAAACACACCTGAGACTGCAGCTAAAGTCAAGCTTACAAAAATTACAGGGAGCCCAATTGTCAAAAACTTTGATTTCCGTTTAGGACCAATTCGGGGAAGCTTAGGAAGCTGTAAGAGAGCAAGTTCCTCCGCTTTGCCATTCATCTTAAAACTCCAACCCAAAACATAATGAGATGTTAATACCGTACCCGTGGATGATGAGAAGCCAACATACATGGCGTTGTTAAAAAGAGGTGAAAGATCATACGTCAAAGACAAAAGTGGAGTACTGGGCTTACCACTATTGAATGGAGCTAAAGTAACGTTAATTTGCTTATCGTCACCGTTATATTCCACCCAAACTTGCATTCGTTTACCACTAATAAGAGTCAAGTTCTTAAGCTGACCAGTGCGATCGTCATGATAACCAGCTGGAGCTGATTTCACAGACTTCAAATTATTAATATCAATCCCCACATGGTTATCATTGATGTCGAAAAACTCACTACTCTGGATGGTATCGAGTTCTACGGCAAAAACACGATTGCTGTCATTCCCATTGTTTTTCTCGTTAAAAAGGCCTAAGTACTGACTTGGACGAGCACCTGGGAGCCCCCTAGTTGGTGCAATCACGAAGGCGATACCGTGTCCATTAATAGTCAGATACTGTGATGGGTGGATTCCGAAAACAAAGGTAGTAGAGAAGGAAAAAGCAGAGCCATTTGATGAGTTCTTGAAGGATATTGGGTTAGGATAAAAAGCATGACCTGTTCGTTGGCTGGTGTCGTTAGTAAGTCGCAAGAGTCCATTGGAAGTGAACTCGGCTATACCATCAACGGTTAGATTAGCCGATTGGAACCCATTGTAGACGAAACCAAGTGTTTCATCTCCTGCTGCTAAGCTAGTTAAGAGAGAGACCAGAATTGCAAATTTGAATAACATGGCTACGCTCTTGCTCTTGTGACTTGTCCTATGGTTTCACAAGGGTTATAATAACGATAAGGCAACATAAATCGACCGTCCACATAAATCGCACACAGAGGGTTATAATAACGATAAGGCAACATAAATCGACCGTCCACATAAATCGCACGCAGATATATTAACCGTTAGATCGATGCTTAATTCAATTCTACTGTAAAGAGACAGTACGTCATTGTGGTCTGTCAATTACGGTTCAAAGGAAGGGAGATTAATTATCAAACGAATTTTGACGCTTTGATCTCCCTTCAATGAACGAAACCAATAATCAACGGCGGGTTCTACTCTTAAGAAAATATCAATTTTGAACTTTGTCCTACTGTTATGGAGGGAGAAGCATACTAGAAGGATGATATCTAAAATTCAATGTTGCAGCAGTAAAATTGGACGTCTGTTACGTCATAATCAAACTGCGGGATCGTTAGGTGGAGGGGGCAACAGTCACCATCTTCATTGACCCATCGACGGGTGCCATACCGCGGACAGCCATTAATATCAAGAATATCTCCAACTGTAGATCATTGAGAATTTTCTTAGATGTGGACTGCTAATGTAAAGAGTCCACCGCGTGTATTTTCCACAAGGACTCTGACGTTGGCTCGCTGCACCTACTACGCAGAAGTCTGAAACCGTTGAAAACGGAATATAGTTTTTCGGTCAGATTTTCTCTTCTAGAAATGAATAGGTATCAAAGAACTTTGTGACGCAGGACCTCATCTAGTTCTCTCTCTCCATTATTTAGATAGTTGGAGTTTGATTAAGAAGACTTTATCATTCCAGTCTGCCATCATAGAAGTCATTTATGTTTTGATCATCCAAAATTTTGATAATTATGCGTGAGTAAATCTATGTTTTGTTAGTTATACTCCCAAATACAGTATTTGTTGAAACTTAGTTTTGTTTGACGACTGGGAAATATCTATCCCTGAGTTCTCTCTTTTGCTTCTTCACTATATGCATTCTTTTTAAGTATTCTCTTTACAGTCCATTCCCAAATATTAGGCTTATTTAATTTATTGAAGGTACGTGTCCAATCCCCTATGTTATTATAATTTATTATAACTTTCTCCTTATTAGAGTTTGAATTGTTTTAGAAATTATTAATCATCATATCTTCTTTGAAACTATAGTCAAACAGACAAAAATTTTGAGATAGTTTACAAAGTGAAGCTTTAAGATAAATTTATTGTAATGAAAAATGTAAAAAATCATTAGAATAGTTAATTTGCATTTAATCTAATAATTAATTGTTAAAAATATTAAAACATTTTGTTGTTGTGATAAAGTGGAAGAAGGTAAATAAATTATAAATTATAAAGTTTGTTGTGCGGTCAATCCAGAGAGGATAATTCCCTATTAGGAGAAAAAATATTTAGAAGGAAGATATCCAGATTGACTTAGATTCCAACTAAGGTAGCCGAGGATTATGCAACTTCCTAATCCTACGTATTTGAATCTTCTCTCAACTCTATCATGTAAATGTATGTTATATAAACCCATTATAACTTCTTTTCAAGGGGGTTGGGCAATTGTTCTAAGCAAATTTTCCTAGGAATTATACTGTTCTTCGTAAGCTCTTAAAAATAATAAGATAACAGTGGACGTAGGCTCAAGTTCTAACTTGTCGAACCACTTTAAAACTCTCTTTGCCATTTACTTTATTGCATTTATTATTCATCCACTGCTGGTTATCCGTAATCATGCACACATCCATTCCGGTTCTGACAGGGTTAATCAGAATTCTCTAGTTGGTGTAGATTTTTGTATCAGCATTTTGACACTAGAAGGAGGGTCTGATTCATAGCAGCTCTCAATGTTTTTCCCTCAAGTCTCAACTTCTTCAACAAATCCCAGCTTCTTAATCTAGACTCACGTCATCAAATGTGAAAATCTGCGCAGGATAAAGTTTGAATCTGCCTAAGTGGTAAACACAATAATTGTAGCCCTTCGAGTTAGCTTTTCGACGGTCTAAGAATCATCCAAATCTAAGGTCTAAAGCTCAAGTTATCATCAAAATACTGAAGCCTGTTCCAAATCAAAGTTCTCAGATTACGTGGCCAGATCGCTCAGATTGCGTGCTTAGATCACTCTGATCTTCAACTTCAGATAACTAGGCCAAATTGCTCAAATCGCGTGCTCAAATCTCTCATATTAGAAAGAGCTCGCTAAATCTCTAACTCTCAAGCTCCTAAGCTCTCCAAGCTTTATGATCGAGCAATGCTTCTAGATCAAGCTCTTCATGCTTTCTGATCAAGCTATGCTCTCAAATCAAGCCCTCCATGCTTTCTGATTGAGCAATGCTCTCAGATCAAGCTCTCCAAGCTTTCTGATTGAGAAATGCTCTTAGATCAAGCTCTCCATGCTTTTTAATCGAGCTATGCTCTCAGATCAAGTTTTCCAAGCTTTCTGATCTAGCAAGGCTCTCAGATCAAGCTCTCCATGCTTTCTGATCGAGTTATGCTCTCAAATAAAGCTCACACTTTCTGATCGAGCAATGCTCTCAAATCAAGCTCTCCATGCTTTCTGATCGAGCAATACTCTTATATCAAGCTCCATGTTTTCTGATCGAGTCATGCTCTCAGATCAAACTCTTCATGCTTTCTGATCGAGCTATGCTCTCAGATCAAGCTCTCTATGCTTTCTAATCGAGCTATGCTCTCAGATCAAGCTCTCCATACTTTCTGATCGAGCTATGCTCTCAAATCAAGCTCTCCAAGCTTTTTAATCGAGCAATGCTCTCAGATCAAGCTCTGCAAGCTTTCTGATCGAGCAATGCTCTTAGATCAAGCTCGCCATGCTTTCTGATCGAGTAATGCTCTCAGATCAAGCTCCTCATGCTTTCTGATTGAGCAATGCTCTCAGATCAAGCTCTCCATGCTTTCTGATCGAGCTATGCTCTCAGATCAAGCTCCCAATATTTTCTGATCGAGCAATGCTCTCAGATCAAGTTTTCTATGCTTTCTGATAGAACAATGCTTTCAAATCAAGCTCCCCATGCTTTCTAATCGAGCAATGCTCTCAGATCAAGCTCTCCATGTTTTTTGATCAAGTCATGCTCTCAGATCAAGCTTTCCATGCTTTCTGATTGAGCTATGCTCTCAAATCAAGCTCTCCAAGCTTTTTATCGAGCAATGCTCTCAGATCAAGCTCTTTATGCTTTCTGATCGAGCAATACTCTCAGATCAAGCTCTTCAAGCTTTCTGATCAAGCAATGCTCTCAGATCAAGCTCACCATGTTTTCTGATCGAGTAATGCTCTCAGATCAAGCTCTTCATGCTTTCTGATCGAACTATGCTCTCAGATCAAGTTCTCCATGCTTTCTAATTGAGCAATGCTCTCAGATCAAGCGCTCCATGTTTTCTGATCGAGCTATGCTCTCAGATCAAGTTCTTCATGCTTCTAATAGAGCTATGCTCTTAGATCAAGCTCTTCATGCTTTCTGATCGAGCTATGCTCTTAGATCAAGCTCTCCATACTTTTTGATTGAGACATGCTCTCAGATCAAGCTCTCTGCCCTTTCTAATCAAGCTCCTCGCACTCTCAGATCGAGCTCCTTATGCTCTCAGATCGAGCTCCTTATGCTCTCAGATCAAGCTCTCTATGCTCTCTGATCAAGCTCTCTATTCTCTCTAATCAAGCTCTCTATGCTCTTAGATCAAACTCTTTATGCTCTCTGATTAATCTCATAAACTCGCTCATTCGCTTGAGATCACGTATTCAAGATCTCTTAGATCTCTTAGATCACAACAAGCACAATTCAAATTCTTCAATTCGAGACTACAACCTATAGTGCAACAACCATCCAGATTAAAGACATGAGTTTTTGAAGCGCGATTACGCACTCCAAAAACTGGGGGGCCAATGTTGTGCGGTTAATCCGGAGAGGATAATTCCCTATTAGGAGAGAAGATGTTTAGATTGGCTCAATTTGGAAGGAAGATATTCAGATTGACTTTGATTCCAACTAAGGTAGTCGAAGATCATGCAACTTCCTAATCCTACGTATTTGAATCTTATCTCAACTCCATCATGTAAATGGGTGCTATATAAACCCATCATAACTTGTTTTCAAGGGGGTTGGGCAATTGTTCTAAGCAAATTTTCCTAGGAATTATACTGTTCTTTGCAAGCTCTCAAAAACAATAAGATAACAGTGGACGTACACTCAAGTTCTAACTTGCCGAACCACTTTAAAAATCTCTCTGCCATTTACTTTATTGCATTTATTATTCATCTACTATTGATTATCCATAATCACGAGCACATCCATTCCTGTTTCGACAGGGTCAATCGGAATTCTCTGGTTGGTGCAGATTTCTGTATCAACAAAGTTAAATTATATTTGAAATTGGAATGAATTTAAAGGAGAATTATTGAGAAAAATATTAATCAAAACATTTAAAGGAAAGATTAAAATAAAATAAAAAAGTACAAAACCAAACTCGTGTAGAATGGCTGATAACATATTTTTTTTAGAAAACAGCGCGCCGTTAGCCAATACGTAATATCAATCCTGACAGGACCAAATGATTTACAAGATTAGGGGCTTGTATGATATTTACTCGGTCATATGGGGTATAATTGATATTATCCAGATAACATACGACATGTCGTTTTCTGTTAACCGACAATATCGTTTCATAATAACCGACTTGTTGTTTCTTGACAGATCACATGTCATCCCATCAAACCTACACAATGTTTGTATTTAACCGACATGTCGTTTTGTTTCCAACCGGCATGTTGTTTGATCATCCAACTTGTAGTTTTCCTAGCAGAAGACATGTCATCCATGTGATTCATATCAATAAAGCCACTAATGTTTTCATGAGTATCTATTAGCGCCCATATGTGTAAATCTACCTGGACTTAAGTGATATTTACCATATATTATTTTATTCATTTCTTAATGAAAACGACCTGTCATCCATATTACATACGACATGTCATACTTTGGATGGTTAACATCAATTACACAGTCGGTGATGTGTAAATATCATATAAACCCCTATATTGCTATTCTTATTGGACTAGAGTGATAGTTGCCCTAAGCTTGCTCTCTCTCTCTTTGCAAAATACTTCAGTTCACGGAAAGCATTCGTCCAAGATTTCTGAATTCTTATTCCGATGAATCAATAATTTTCTCAGCAAACAAACAGACTAGAAAGAATTCTAAACCACACCGGTGGTCAGAACCCTTTTGAAAAATCCCTAATTTTATTCGTCAGCCATTGATTCTGGCCTTAACAGGTTTGTTCTCCGACTTATTTCGATCGATCGTTTATCTTGTATAGAAAGTTTTAATCTTTAAAATATTATCTGGTATCTGTTTAACTATCACTCTTACAAAGTTTAATCCAAAATCTTTATGTTCATGCTGGGAAATTACATAGTGTTTCTTATTTATTTTTTAACGAATGATCTCGTTTGATTTGTTATGTGGTGTACTGGTGTGGAACAATAATATACATTTTGGGTTGGGTTGATTATATAAACTGGCCTTCTAATTGTAACCTAAAATACATTTGAGGCACAAAACAGCTTTAATTAATCAAATCGGCCGGCCAGGCAAGAAAAGAAGATTCCTGAGATGTGGTGCACAGCAGTTGCCAAATAATTGGCCTGGCTCACTTGGAATCTTCTCCAAATGGCAAAACCTAAGCTGGAATCGAAAAAATCCAAGAAATAATAATAGTCTTTAAATACGATCTGGCTTTTACTTCTGATAACTTATAATCTTCCAGCTCTTGCTGTTTGTTATGGCCGAGGAGAATAAACCAACCAAGCCCTCTCAAGAACAACCTGATCAATCAACACCAATCTTGCCTAGTCAGTTGCTTCTTTTATCTATATGATTAATATTTTTACATCAGAATTATTTAATTGATTATATAGAGTTGATCAATAATGATGGATACTATTATATGATGGCCTTTCTGATTATGTTTATGGTGGAGATGCAGGAACTTACGGGCAACCACTTGGAAAAAACATGGCTTCAAAAACAACATGGCCTGAGTTAGTAGGCCTAACGGCGGATGAAGCAGAGAAGAAAATCAAAGAAGAGAAACCAGTTGTTCAAGTTCAGGTAGTTCCTCCAAATAACTTTGTTACCATGGATTTCAGACAGAATCGAGTTCGACTGTATGTTGATTCCTCTGGAAAAGTCGATAGGGCCCCAAGAATTGGGTGATAATTTATTAACTCAACAACTATTTGACTTGTTGGATTAAAAGAGATTGAAGTTTGAGAGTTGGTGAACTTATGCATGTCCTTTTGTAAGAAAGAAGTTATACTTGAAATAAGCCCACTCGTTAATTTCCCCATGTCCACTCTTAAAATTGCTAGGTTCTGAGTCGTTTGAACACTGTTTATCATAATATTGAGGCCGAATGTTGTTTCTTTGGCTTCTTTTCCTCTGTTACTTCATTGTCGCTGAGAAATGGGAGCAAGCGCTTTCTTTTTGACAACTTATTAAATTATTGGGTTTTCCTGATAGTGTATCTAGTTTCAGTGTTTTAAGAGCAAGCGCTTTCTTTCAAGCTTTCATAGAATTTTCGACTGTTGCGAACTTAAGGATACAAATTTCCTTTTCCCTTCTTACAGAACTTAAGGATTTAACAAACCTTTACTTAAAACAAACAAGACTTGAAAAGGAACATTGACCTGAGGTAATTAATTAGCGGAAATGTGAAGAAAGTCATGATTATTTTATATGAATGGCTGACACCCATTATAGCAACTCCCCTTAATTTTACATATTTTCCATGATTATACAATGTTAAACGCCACCCGAAAATAACATTTGATTAGCCTTAATTGACATTCATTCCCTTTGTGGTATTTCATTCTTAAATGGCAGCCACCAGCTGACTCACCAGTGAGCCCACACCATCATCTCAGCAGCCACCGTATACAGCCCCCCTACCCATGAGAAGAATTAGCACAAATCTTTATCTCGGATTAGATTAACGTTTTATAATAATGTGAATTTAGACTAACGATTTCATTGTCATTCTCTGCTGTAACATTTTCCCTTTATTTATCATCAATCCTACCTGACCTTACCTGTTTTCTGGGAATAATCACCTGATCCTTCTGCTTTAACTAATTCAAGGGTAGTAGGCTAGTAGCCAGTTATGGCTTTAAAGATTGCTGACTCATTTGCTCAAAAGGAGGAAAAAAATACAACTCCCAATACTCAGTCTCATTTGAAGGATTACGGTTTTGTTACTGTAATGCGCACTTTCCCAACAGCACGAGATAATAATAATGAAGGCACAACATTATACAGCATGAAGCTTTTCTCTTGGGAATCGTTTTCTTACAAATCTGGACTTCTAATACAACCAAGAAATTCCAAAAATTAAAAAAAGAAAAAAAATATGCTCTGTTTCAATGCTACCCTGTCTCTCGTCTAACGGGTAGAAGAGACAATGGAGAGGTAGAAAGAGAAGCAAAAGTAGCACCATTTTCCACGAATGAATGAGAAGACATTTTATCAAACGATGAAGATGCAAATGAGTTGAACAACTCATTAAATCCTTCAACTGTACCTTTCCCACTATCAACTGCATCCGGTGGTCTCACTATTTCTGGCACTTCAATCTCTCCATCCAAGCACCTCACCACTTGTCTCATAGTAGGCCGTGCCAGAGGCGCATTATTTGAACACAATATCCCCAATTTAATCACCGTAAACACCTCACCCTCATTATATTCACCATTTAGTTTACGGTCAATCACATCAAGGACTTTCCCTTCTCTATATTTGTCCCACACCCAATCAACCAACACTAATTCTTCAGGCGCTGCCTTGGGCTCAATAGGCCTCCGCCCACATGCAACCTCTAGCAAAAGTGCACCAAATGCATACACGTCTGAACTTGTAGTGGCCTTCCCTGTTTTGGGTAACTCTGGTGCTAGATAACCCAGAGTGCCCACGACCCTTGTCGTACCCGGGTTCGACCCGTGTTCATACAATCTTGCAAGACCAAAATCACCCACCTTTCCATTTAATTCACTGTCTAGCAGCACATTACTAGCCTTAACATCTCTGTGAATGACAACTTGTTCGTAACCTTCATGCAAATAAAGAAGTCCTGAAGCAACACCTTTTATAATCTTCAACCTTTGCTCCCAATTAAGAACCGTTTTCGGCTTATCAAACAAGAAGTTATCTAGGCTCCCATTAGACATAAAGTCATACACAAGAAGAAGATCACTTTTTCGCCTACACCATCCCACTAACTGAACCAAGTTTCTATGGCGAAGCCTGCCAATGCTAGCTACCTCGGATACAAATTCACGTACACCTTGTCTTGAGTCATGTGAAATTCGTTTAACAGCAACCTCAGTTTTTGAAATCAAAAGCGTTCCTTTATAAACTTGACCAAATCCACCGTGACCAAGTAGCTGCTTGTCACTAAAATTGTTAGTTGCTTGCTTCAGCTCTTTATAGGTGAATCTTTGTGGCCCAATATCCAGCTCCCAATCTTCGATAACTTCAGCGTTTTTAATTCTCCTAATCAAGTAAAAAAAGGCCAGAGATAACATACATATTGCGAGAATCACTGATGCTATTGAAACACCAATGGTTAAACCTGAATATTTTTTCTTGGGACCCGGAAGCGAAGGAAGAGAAGAGATATCAAGACCCCGAGCTGGTCCATTAATATTAAAACTCCAGCCCAATATATAATGTGAGCTAGCGAGTAAACCTGTAGAAGAAGAGAAGCCAACATACATGGATTCGTGAAAGATTGGCGAAAGATCCACTCGAAAAGACAAGACGGGCAATCTTGGTTTGGAAGAATATGGAGAGATGGTGACATTGATTATATTTTCAGCTGCATCGTAATCGATCCAAGCTTGGATTGGTTTCCCACTCTTGAGAGTCAAATTTTCTTTTGTTGAACTGTCAATGAAGTAAGCTGCAGTAGTAGATGCATTAGAGGTCAAGCTGTTGATGTCGATGCCAATATGGTTGTCGTTGATGTCTTGAAACTCAAAATCTTGAACTGTATCAAACTCAACCGCAAATAAATGATTCGAAAAGTTCCCCATATCGCTGGAATTGAAGAGCCCTAGATACTGACTGGGAAGACTTTTGAGATTTTTTGATGGTGAGATCGTGAAGGCGAGGCCATGGCCACCAAGTTTTGGATACTCAGGGACTATGGCCACGGCAAATGAGGTAGAGAAAGAAAAGACTTTGCCGGTTGTCAAGTTCTTGAACTGAATTGGTGAGCTATAAAAGGCATGACCTTGCAATCTACTGGTCTCGTTTGTTAAGCGAAGAATGCCATTTTTTTCAAAACTTGCAACTCCACTTAACGTTATATTGGTGGTGGAATCTTTGAATCCTGGAAAAAAGAGTTCATTGAGCTGGGATGATACTGGAATGAAGAGAAACAAAAGAAGAGAGAAAAGATGGAGAAAAGAAGATGCCATGCTAGGGATAAAAAATGGCAAGAAATGTGGGCACTTGAATCGAAAAGGGTGTTAGATTATGAAGAGGTTGGTGAGATTGGAATGTTTACTTGAAAGAAGTGGAAAGTGTAATAGGCGGTGAGGTAAACAGATCTCACAGAGAAGAACTGTGGCCGCTTGGTAGGGTTCCAAGCAGAGACATTAAGAAGTATCTAAACCATACATCCATCACTTCACATGGGGCTACAGAGACCAATACATATATTCTGATAAAGAAAAATGTTATCACCCAAGTTATAAAGTGATATGATTCAGAAGAAAAAGAAAAAAAAAAAGACGGAAAAAGGGAAAGAGAGAGAGAAATCATGAAAATCAAGATAGAGATTGTCTTTGTATGTCCCTTTATATATGTCTTTATAAAACTAGCATTACTCATTCTGGCAAAGCAAAGAGAGAGAAGGGTGTCTTTTATTTTTTTAATATAAATTTTGTGTCTTTTTTTTAATTTTTATGAAATATTTGAAAATAATTAAAAAATAAAAACATCTTTTATATATTTATCTGAAAACTTTATTTTAATATACAGATTACAGACAAAAAACTGAATTAAGAAATCTTAATTAATCAAGAAAATTAAATAAAACTTCATAAGATGACATTCTGAATATTTTCTACACCCTTCACCTTTTCTTTTCTTTTTCTGCTTTCAAACATGTTCTGTACAAATTTTTACATCTGAGTTTGCTGTGATTCTTGTGAATCCTCTGCTCCATCAAAGGGTATATAGAAGGCTTAAATTTTATCTGCTGATATGGTGCATGCAGATTATTTTTTGAAATAATTTGGCCTATAGTATACTTAAAAGTATTGAACTGAACTACTTTTGGGTGACCGATCAGTTCGATAGAGATTTTTTTGTGTACTATTCAAGAGGTCCTAAGTTCGAGTCATTTTTTACGTGCTAATAGAAGTAACTATTAGAGCTATTACCCGACCGATAGTTTTAGAATCCCGAAAGATTTGTTGAAATGCATATAAATTGGACCAAACACCATTGGTCATTAAAAAAAAAAAAAAAAGTTTTGAACCGGCATAAAGGCTCTTAATAATTTCATATCACTTTGGTTGTAACTTTACAGGTCCCAGATTTTAAATGAAGTATGGATCACCTGATGCTTCATGTCTATCATTTAGGAACAATTTTGTTGTTAAATCTCACCATAAATCAAATTATCACAGCAAAAGATATAAATAAGATTCTCCTATCCATTTCTTGGAAATTTATTTTCTCAATTATGGAATGTTATTTCAACCCACCACGTGGATTCATTCTAAAGTTGTCTTTTTACCAGAATGTAGTGGTTTGGAATGCAATACCAATTTGGCCAAGACGGATATAATATTTAGGTTAGTTATTTGCAGTAGGTTATCAGAAATCTTATAATTTTTCAACACCAAGAACCACCATCACCACCACCACTTTGCTCTCTTGACTTTTTTTTATAGTTGATTGAAGATAAAGGACTAAAAACTTTTAGACCCACTTGGTCATTTTAATACAGAAGTGTGAGTAGCAAGGAATTTGACTTGATGTTGATGTTATAATTTTACTCTGTGTGTAGTCAATTATTTTAAGGATTTGTATCAACGAAGAAATCTTAGATTCAAACCATATAACGTACACGTCAGGATGATTCCATTTTCCCCATTTTTCTTTTCAGGATTCTTAGTGCAGTGACGATTCAGTTTTCATTTCATTGAGTGGATCCCTTTATCTTTGTGATTATTTTCATTCAAAATTCTGGGGAATGACAGAAAACATAAAACACCCTCGGGTTTGTTTTCTAAACCCAGATGCCAGTCATTAATTAGTTAATAAATTTGAGGGCTGGATAGTGAATGACATAAGGCCGCACAATTGCAGAAGAGTCAATAGATTTACTGGTTACTGGGTAGCTTAAAAAATTTGATAGTATTGAAAGTGGTATGGGGAGTGGCAACTTTCGGTATAGGGGAAAAACATTGATTGGGTTATACTGATATTATTATAAAATTCTCCATGTGATTTTCTCAGCACAGGTCGTGATGCTGATATTGTTGAATATAAAATACAGCATGGATGCTTTATAATCATAATGGTGTTTAAAGTTGGTAAGAAATTTATTATTTAATGAGTTAAAGTATAGGTGGGCTGGCTCCCAATAACACTTGCAAAACTGCAAACTGGCCAAATTTATGGCCCAATGGGAGAGGAGATTGAGAAATCAGATTGCATAAATATAGTTCAAACCTGCTTTATAGACTTCAATCTTGGGCAGATGAGTCAGATGACCAGAAGCTGACTCATCTCAAATTGATTATCTAATTAAAAGTTTCTTAATGCAACATCTCCCATGGAAGTTTAGCTAGGCAAAGTTCCGAACCTTGATTTTGAAATATTATTGTTAAGTTGAGTATGATTATTATTACGAGGTAGGATTTAAAAATTAACAAAAAAATTCATAGGTTTATTAATTTAGCTAAACACCAAAATAATAAAAAGTTTATAAATTGACAAAAATACCCCCATCCACCCACAGATGCTAGATTCCAACTACCACCGTTATCGTGCACTGCTATGGCCTTTTTCTGTCAGATCCACCATGGATCTGGTCGAAAAACGCCAAATCTATAGTCGGATTTGACCGTTGACGGTCAGATCTAGTCACATCTGGCGGTCAACAACTGTCAAAGATATGATCGTTGTTGACAGTCAACGACAGCCATATATTAATTAGCATTGACAGCAAGATTTGGTCAAAGATCTGATCGTCAACGACTAGATGTGATAAAGATCTAGCTGAAAAAGGCTAGATCAACACACTACAAGCTAGATCCAACCGATAATGCGTCATTACGCCAGATTCCGATCACCTTCTAATAGTGGTTGTTGAAATCTGACAAATATAGGTGAATAGGAGTATTTTTATCAATTTATAATACGTTTTTGTTAAGAGTTTAGTTAAATTAATAAAACCTCCAGGAGTTTAAAAAGTTGAATATTATAAGATATGATTTTAAGGAGACAAACATGCATGCCGCGCCCTAAATATCTAGGCTGAAGATGTCTCTTAAATAAAAGTCTGGTAAATATATTATTATGATAATAAATACGAAGACCAGAAGAAAAAGTACAGACTGTTGACACAATTACAAGTGCTTAGAGGTTATTTCCTCGGTAATTATACTCTGTTGCTAAAGACAAACCTAAAATTGGTATAGGCAGCTCCCATCATCACTCCGAGCAGTTGGATCATAGTTGTCTGCAGATGGATCGGTGCAGCCTTCGGGGACTGGCATGTTCAACTGTTGAGCTGCTTTACCTGCATCCAAACAGTTATTAAAAGCTTGAGTAACTTCTGATGACAATTTTGTTCATCATTCCTAAAGCTCGATGCAAACCTCTCATCAAGTCCTTTAGGATCAAAGATCTAACCATAAAAACTTCCATTCTTGATGGCATCGTCATTTGCATCACCAAGAGCTGCTTCACTCAAGTACTTGTCAGCCAATTGGACTCTCTTCACATTCTCCTGCTCTTTGACAAGCATGCTTCCGTACTCGAGGAGCTTCTCCAGAGTCATTTTCGGTTGCTCAAAAGTTGGGGGTCCCTCCTTTGAATTAACAAGCCTCTTCCCAATTTTTTCGACTCCAATTTCTGAAATCCACTTCCTTACTTCATCATCATACACTCTTGCCCTGAGGGCACCAAAGAAGTCTGCAATAGAAAACAAAGGTGTTTGCTCAATTTGCTGTTTACTATGTTTTTCTGGGTTTGCTGAGGACTACTTTCAGCTGTCAAATTGATGCCTGGATTTCAGGATAATATTAAACTATAATGGACAATGACTTTTGAGATAAGTGGGGACAATTGGAACACAAAACTCACCAATAGATTGTCCTGGGAACGTGTCAACAAGCTTGACAATGTCTTCCTTTGGAACATTGTCAGTACGGAAGATACCCGTGCACACACCAATTCTGTCCTCCCGAGTAGGAGCCCAGTAGAATTTTTCCATACGACCATCACGAATCAGAGGGGCATACAATGTGGAGAAGTCGTTACCAGTGACTATGATGGGAACACGGGGATTCTCCTCCTTGTTGTACATACCGGGGAGCTGGACATTGGTTGGGTTATCAGCAATATTCATGAGCGTAGCATTAACCATCTGGTTGTTGACTGTGTATTGAGTAGTTCCACCAAGCCTACCAGCTCCAGCATCAAGATCATTGATAAAAAGGCAGCACATTTTTCCCTTTTTAATGATGTCTGCCGCTTCACGATACCTTTGCCTAATCAATTTTGCAGGCTCTCCAGCATTTCCGCTTTCCAATTCACCAGCACTCATCATAATAGGGCTGAATATTGATTGTCACAAAAATCATAGTAAGAATCAAGCATATATATAAAGATTTCGAACTTCAACATTCTTTCAGCATGTTTCACCAAATTCATTTTGAAAAAAAGCTTAATTTCTTCTAATTTGAGATTGCCAACATTCAAATTATAAAAATTCTCAGCAGAATAAAAACCAGAATACAACTGTTCTTTGGGTGTTCTAAGAACTTCAGGAAGATGATTTTGTCAAAGTCTTCAATGGTTAGGCAACAAATTAATGGATCCAATGAGTTTTATAGGGTGGTGGATAATTTTGAAAGAACATAATTTCCAACTATCCTATAAAAGTTCGCATCGGATGACTGTTTTTATCATCTGCAAGAGAGAAACTCAAGGCTCCACTGTAAATGCTTATCATGATGAAACCAGTGTCTTATATGCTGGTGAAGGGAAACAGGAACAGAGTTGTGCATTTTAAAAGGATTTTAGTTTCACATCTATTCAAGATATATATTTTATTTGGAAATTCAGTCCTTCATCTCATCCCTCAATTATTAGACTTAATTTGTTGAGTACTTGCTCCGTGCAGTACTCTTGCTAGGTAATAGTTTTTCTACTGCTGAATTTTCCTTACCGAATAATAATATTTCAATTATCTAGAAAATGCAACAGACTATAAATTATAGAAGTTGACAGGCAAATCAAAAGGCACTTACTTGATTCCCATCTTGGCAAAGACAAGTTCACATTGGAAAGATTTTCCTTGACCTTTGCCTCCCCAGATACCCAAGATGAGAGGAACCTGTCACGGTATTTTGGGTAAATCATCAAACTTTATTTAAACCCAAATGAACTTGTATGCAGAGTGAAATAATTCTAAGAAGCTTGGCTAACGCACCTTAATGTTTGGCAGGTTAATGAAGTTCTTGGTGATATGAACGACCAACTTATCCATGAACGCGGGAGCAATGTAGAAACCATCCATATTGTTGTCAAAATTGTACCTAACAACAATTCAACAGTACCCTATGATCAGAATTCAAGTCCAATAGAAAGCCTAAACTCAGACATCAACAAAGGCAATAATGATTCTAAGGATATCACAATAAAGTCTTAGCTACTTACTGTCGAAGACCTTGACTGATGTAGTCATAGGAACTCAAGACAGCATAGTGTGTTCCAGTGCCCATGGGAGCTTGGAAGAGAGAATCCACCATTCCTTTTCCTCTGGTAATGTCCTGCTGGTCATCTGATGTATCATAGGCAAGTCCACCCCATCTGTCTTTATCGGTCTGCTTCTCCTCATCGTATTCACTCAAAACCTTGAATTTCTTTGAAAAGATTTTCTGCTGGCTGATCTTTGAGCTCACGTTCTTCAAACTCTTTCCCAAGAATGCTGAGCTTGGAACTGAAGTTCCAGTACTCGATCCATTTACTTTCAACTGCACCAAATAAAATCTCTTATTAAAACTAACTAAACCACAACATTCCAAAGAAATTACACATTCCATGTCCTCAACTAAATTTTAAACAGACTCCGTAAAGGAAAAACGACTCATGAGCAAGATAATAAAGTATGAGACGATGATAACAAAGAAGAAATGTGTTAATTCAATAGGATGATCGATAATAACTAAGGCAAAATATGAATAGAACACAAAATGAAAAAGGGCGGGAAAAACATGGTACCGGTAATGTGTTAACAGCTCCGACGGTGGAAACAGAAGCAGCCATAATGATCGAACGGGTAAGATGAAAGAACCTTTTTAAAGAGAAGACGACGAAATGAAACTAGAAACAGTTTTGGAAAGTTGTCTGTGTACGAGCTTGTTGTGTGTAGTTTGATGGGATTTTATAGATAGGGAGTGTGAAGAAAGTGAAGTGGGAAAATCTGTGGATTGGCTTGACGAATTTCTAACGACCACACAATTGGCGATTTGTATTTATTACGTGGCGGAGTAGGTGAGGTGGACGTTGGTTTTGGAATGGGCCAGGGCCGGGTATGGAGTTTGCAAACAAAATGGAGGCTTCCAGTGACTGGGTTTAATTGAGGTTATAGTTTAAGCTTCTTTCTTCTCCACAAAATTTGGGAGATTTTTCATTTTTATTTTGTTAGGAAAATCTTAATAATATTGCATTCTTTAACACTACCTAGAAATTTAGGCAGTGTTGTTTATGAATTTTTCATTTTTTCTGAATAGGAAAATGTGAAATACTTGTTGGTTTAGCCTTTTGGGCAATTTTTTTTTTTTTTTTTTTGAATTAGAAAACAGAAGAAATGGAGTTAGGGAAGAGAAATGTGAGCTCCACTATTTTATATAAAAATTTATTTACTCTCTTCCTTTATTACAAACGGAAATAAAAAATTAATATCTTTAAGACAAACTTTTCGAGACGAACAAAATAACTGGTAAATTGAAAGGGATTTATTGATTTTATAAATGCTAAATATTATGTTTCTCATTCTTCTGCTTTGTGTTTCCAGGCAATCATGTTAAACACATTTATATTTTTTGCGTTTTCAAATATTGTTCTTAGACAAACATATTGAACGCATTTTTAATTTTTAAAATTTTTTTGTGTAAAGCTAAAACTTTGAATATTAATGTTCTAACTTAGTGTATCATATGGTTTTTAATGTCAATTACCCAACTGAGAAATTACAAGTTGAAAAACTTATACTCTATATATCAATCCCTTTCAATAGCACTTGGGTTAAAATGTAAGCAATAAGGATTATTTTGATTCAAATTATCTGATTTAACCAATGAATGCTCCTTTTTTGGTATTTTCTCTCAAAAAGAAAATCCAGAACCAGCAATATCGTTTTCATGTTTGCTTCTACTGCAGTTCTAAACTGTTCTACACAAATCTCCTGTAACTGTTCTTTTCTAAGGAAACCTCACGGGCCTAAATACATTACTGTGATCTCATTTAACCAATGAATGCTTTTTTTGTTTGAATTAGAAAACAGAAGAAATGTGAGCTCCACTGTTTTATATAAAAATATAAAAATTTATTTACACTCTTTCTTTATTTATAATTCTTTACTTCTTTTTTTAGACAAAAAATTTCATTTTAAATGAAAAAATTCAATACAAAATTACAAACAGGAATAAAAAAAATTAATATATTTAAGATAAACTTTTAAAAAATAACAAAATATCTGGTTAAAAAAAGTGGATTTATTGATTATGTAGATGCTAAATTTTATATTTTTCATTCTTTTGTTTTGTGTTTCTGGACAATCATGTTGAACATGTTTTCAAGTATTCAATTTTATTTGTTTTCGCAACTTGTCAAGCTTTTTTTGGTCAATCCTGGCATCGAAAATAATCCCCGTCACCACCCATCTCTTCTCCAGCATATGCTCTCCAAAACCCTCCACCAACCTGATCTCGTTAGCTCACCGATCGTCGTCCACCTCTCAAGGTTTCGATTTTTTTTTTTAAATTGAAGAAGAGGATGTTATTGAAAAATATTTGAAAGGAAGATGATTTTTTCTAATTCTATTAATTTGAGGGTTGAAAGGTAATTTATTAATTTATTTGTTAAGGGTAGTATGGTAATAGCATATTATATACTGTGTCAAAACCTTAAAAATCACTAACATAGTTAATTTAAGGATGAAAATCTAGAATTTATGAAACTATGAGTGAAAACTTGTAGATTCGCCAACCTTAGGTGGGTAGATGTCGCTTACTCTTGTTTTAAATATAAAATATTGAGATAAGTTTAAGTATTAATATTAATTCTTATCTATATAAAGTGATTAGATGTTAAAACATAATCCACATTATACATTAAAAATAAAAAAAATAAAAAAAAATCCCTATTAAATTTAAGGATCATATTATACTACAAAATTGTAATATTATTAATTTCTTATATTAGGATTTTATATCATCATCTTACACCTATCAAGTGTGGTACTTAAAAACTTAGGAACTCTCCTTAATCTCTTACCTATAAGACCAGTCTTTTGGATTTGGCTCTCTCTTAGGTTTAAGTTATAACACAATACCATCCTTGGATTAAGATACAAAGAAAATCGTACTTTATTTTTATTTTTTAAAGCTAAAACTTTGAATATTAATGTTCTAACTTAGTGTATCATATGGTTTTTAATGTGAATTACCCAGCTGAGAAATTACAAGTTGAAGAACTTTTACCGTACAGATCAATCCCTTTCAATAGCACTTGGTTAAAATGTAACCAATAAGGATTCTTTTGATACAAATGATCTCATTTAACCAATGAATGCTCCTTTTTTGGTATTTTCTCTCAAAAAGAAAATCCAGAACCAGCAATATCATTTTCATGTTTGCTTCAACTGCAGTTCTAAACTGTTCTACACAAATCACTGTTCCTTTCTATGGAAACTTCACGGGCCTTAATACATTTTTGTGATCGTGGCCTTCTTCTTATTAACATCAACATTGGGCTTCTACTGTCTCACTGAGAAGTCCTTTTTCAAATTCACCATCGGTAAAACATGGTGTGTTTGATAGAGTATTTTTAAAAAAATTGAGTTGTATTGTTATTACGAGAATAAGATTTAAAAATTAATAAAAATAGTCTTATATTTTGTTAATTTAGTTAAACATCCCCTATAATAAAACATTTAAAATTAACAAAAACCCTCTTACTCACTCATTAAATATCGACAGCCAATCACCATTGTCGGAAGGTGGTTAGAAGTCACCAAAATGGCGCATGACGGCCACATCCAGTAAGTTTTGCACCATTCTGATAGATTTCGGCTACCTTCCGGCGATGGTAGCCGACTGAAAGAAATATGTGATGGGTGGGGGAATTTTTTTTTATTTTTTTTATTTTTTTATTTTTTTGAATTAGAAAACAACAGAAATGCCACTCAAATGGAGTTAGGGAAGAGAAATGTGAGCTCCACTATTTTATATAAAAATTTATTTACTCTCTTTCTTTATAATTCTTTACCTCTTCCTTAAAACAAAAAAAAAATTCATTTTAAATAAAAAATTTCAACACAAAATTACAAACGGAAATAAAAAATGAATATCTTTAAGACAAACTTTTCAAGACGAACAAAATAATTGGTAGATTGAAGGGGATTTATCCATTTTGTAGATGCTAAATTTTATATTTCTCATTCTTTTGCTTTGTGTTTCCAGGCAATCGTGTTAAACACATTTTCATTTAAATATTGTTCTCAAACAAACATACTGAGCACATTTTTAATTTTCAATACTTTTTTTTTTTTTTTCGTAAAGCTAAAACTTTGAATATTAATGTTCTAACTAAGAGTATTATATGATTTTTAATGTCAATTACCCAGTTGAGAAATTGCAAGTTGAAAAACTGCTACCATATAGATCAATCCCTTTCTATATTACTTGGGTTAAAATGTAACCAATAAGGATTATTTTTATTCAAATTATATCATTTAACCAATGAATGCTCCTTTTTTGGTATTTTCTCTCGAAAGAAAATCCAGAACCAGCAATATCATTTTCATGTGTCGCTTCAACTGCAGTTCTAAACTGTTCTACGCAAATCACTTTTGTCTTGCTCCTGCAACTGTTCCTTTCTCTGAAACTTCATGGGCTTTAATACATTATTGTGATCTTGGGCTTTTTCTTGTTAACACCAACCACTTGGGCTTCTGCTGTGTCCCTGAAAGGTCCTTTTTCAAATTCAGCATCGACAGAAAAACCTTGGTATCATAAAAAAATTTGTTCATCATAATATTTACAATAATACTAAATACACTAATTATTTTGTACTAATCTAAATATTAACATTAAAAATTTAAATTTTTTTTTTTAAAATTTAAAATTTTTAATTTTAGTACTTGAATCAGTATAAATGATTAGTGCACGTAATATTTAACATCTCGAGCACTACAAACACTACCAAAGCATTCGCAAAAAGATTAAGAACCAAAACCAAGTTAACAGCAGAACAAACTCGAATTTCATTAATAAATAATTAGAACGAGAAAGTCCAATAGTACATTGAGTAGTCATCTACATCCGCCTCTACCTGGTCGCCCACCCAGCCTTCTATTTTCGTATCTATATACATAGCTTAAGCCCACCAACAACTCTACAATGGCTGCTTCTGTCTTCTCTAAGTCTGAAAAATACAATGTCTGTAACAACATTACCGTTGGCTTCGCATCAAATCCTTGCTTCTCCAAGTACCTCTCCTGTTGCCACTTCAATGTGTCATGCGCCACCGGCCCCATCCAAGCCATCAATTCCTCCAGCGCCTCCCTCCACGGCTCCGCAACCACCTGCTGGCATTCATTCGTCTCCTCCGTTCTCGTACACCAACCACCCCACAACTTCGCTCTCACTGCCGTCTTTAAATTATCTGGTAATAATTCATAAAAATACCCACGCGCCTCGTCGCTGACATTCGTTGGTGAATATAAATAACTCTCCGCAACTACAATGATGTTTGCGTAGCGTAATGCCAGTCCCGCGCCACCAACTGTAGATTCTGATGCTAAATGCGTAACTTTCTTGTTCTTTCCGATTTTAAATGGAGGGCTGTTATTGTTATCGATATCGATATCGATTTTTTCTTCAAATTTTGGTAATGGACCCGATTTGACGATCCGAATGGCACTGATTTTTCTTCTTGTTTTCAATATGGGATCCGAAATTGTGCGTTTCTTGTTCTTGTCAGGAAGGAGGCTAAAGTTGGTTTCAGGATGGACACGCATGCGTGTTATTTTCTGATGCAAAAAAGGTTTTACATTCTTTGTGGGACGAGGGAGGTCTGAAACGAAGGGACCAAAAAGGACACAGATTCGTGCGTAAATGACGGAGACGATTCGTGACATTAGAGTAACACTTCGGTCGAAGGTTTGGTTCCATAGGGAAGTGTCTTTGTAATGCTTCACCTGTTTTCTTTGATACGTGATTTTCTCGTTGAAGTAATCGGTGTTGGGTTGTTTTGGACCGAGATTTTGCTTCCATTTTTTTAATTTTCTCTCCGATATTTCCATTTCAGCGAGACTTGCCATTGCAGCATGCAAGTTTGACGTTGCCTTGACGTATTTGTCCATCTTTTCAACCAGTTTTTCGTAATTCTTTGAGGCGTATTCTAACTTCCCCAAATCCATAATTCCGAAAGTCATTTCTGAAAATATTTGATCAAACCGTTTTGGAGCCGAATCAGTGCACTTGTTCACCAAACGAGAGACGGTGGCAGCAGCTCGATCGAGATCTTCAAGTTTCTCAGCACAAGCAAGTCCAAGAAGGAAATTTTCATCTTTGGAATTTAAGAAAACAACACCTTTGGATTTCATGGCACCTTTTCGAAGGTTGAAGAATTCATCATCAGAAAGAGACCTGTAAAGCCCAATAAGGCGAGACATGGTTTTGGCCGTTTCGAAAGAGAGGATTCCAAGAGGTAAAGAATTAGGAGATTTGTTGCCATGACAGAAGAGTTTACGGGTGCTGTGACCGGCCTTATTGCCGGTGGCATTAGACAGCCAAGTCATGGTAGGCATGACCATACGAGGACGGATAAAAATTTCTACCTTTGAATCTAGTTCTTTTGTTGAGATGGATGGGTGGATTGCTAGCTAGTGTTGTGAAATGATCCAATTATAGGTGGAGAGATTAAGTATGTAAACAATGGTGGGCATTTCCAAGCTGCTTCATAGAGGACGCGTTTTGTTATTTGGTCATTGTAATTTTGGCTGTCTTACTGAGAAATAGCCGGAGATGACCAGCCACGTCAGATTATATTTCTAGTCTTGTCAGTTTGAAATCTAAGGTGTGAATTCTTTTGGTCAGTTTTTAATTCTTTTTTAATTATATAGTCCAGATGCTGACATGGCATAAATCTTTTCCTGTTTTTTTCAGCGTATTATAATCAGTGAATGGGGTGGACACTTGAACTAATTTGAAAAACTTCTACACTCCTTTGATTAAAAAAAAAAATTTCACTCATTATTTGCTTGATACATATCATTCCCCAAATCAAAAATTTCTTATTTTTGTAGTTACCTGTAGCTATCAAGCGGTCTGAACATAAGACTTCTGGGTTGTTCAGAAAATGACATTATAATATATATTTTTTTTAATTCAAATTAAAATAATGAATATACATTTATAAGTTCTTATAAGATAGATAGTTAAGTTTGACATATTACTAAATAGTAAATACCATATTTGGTGTGCAAAGGTTTTTCAATGTGAGAAGGGAAAACTCCTGCTAAAATAGGGCAAACACTGTATCCAATTAAAGATATATACTTCAAAATAATATTCATAACTTTAATCATTCATTAAACCTATATTTAATGAAAAGACACTATGCTTGATTACTCAGCTCAAAGTCGATAGCGCACTATCTGCCCCAAATTGTACGCTTTCGATCTTTATCTCAGAATAAATTTAGATGCTTCTTCATCCCTTCATTTTCATGCATTACAGTGTGGGAACGAGAGAATTTAAGGTTTCTTGTAGCGTTCTCATTAGTTTGTTTATTTTATTTGTCTCCTTTTTTGTTGGTCTATGAAAGTCAAGTCTATCGCGTATGAATCCGTGTTTAATCATTGATTCTTCATCAGTTAATTGTACCTTTTTCCCACTGTGATTGTGGAATTGGTAATAGGTTTTTGCCAGTTGGAATTGTTTTTTCTGGTGTAGGGTCAACTGGAAGAATTTGACTAAAAGAAAAGACGCGAAAGAATCTGAATTTCAAATATTTTTTGTTGAAGGGTTTGAGAACTGTACCATTTGACAGTGAAGTGGGAACCGGGAACATGTCGCTATAACTGCTACAGATTAATCCGTGGATAAAAGTTCTTTGAATTGACTAAGTTGCTTCTTCATCAATGGTTACGTGTCATTTTACTCATACGTCTAATTTTAACTGTTAGTCACTAGAAAACACCTTTGCAAAAGCAAGAAGCAAGCAATATTGATTAGGTTTTCTTTGTCCAGGTCAAGTTTGCAATACCCAAATAGAAAATACAACTTGTTTACTAGTTCCTTCTAAAAACCTATTGACAAGCAATATTGATTAGGTTTCGTCACTGATCCAGGTCAAGTTTGCGATACCCTAACAGAAACAGAACTTGTTTACTCCATTGAAAAACCTTTGAGAAAAGCCAACAGTAAGCAATATTGATTAGGTTTAGTTATCCAGGTAAAGTTTGCTGTACCCAAACAGATAATAAAAAGAAGACTGTAACTAAATTGGGTGAATCGCAATGCCTATGTATTATAACACAGAACAAATTAAACTATTGAGTATTGACCCCATTGGCAATCTCCTCACTGCATCATTCTTAATCAACCTCGAATTTCCATTATAAGGTTAAAAGCCGAGCCAATGATGAACAAGAGTAAAAATTTATCGAAGTGATCTGAGCTTAAACCAAGAAAACTTATGTAAATAGGTGGAATATTTGATCAAAAAAAACATCTTTTTCTGTGGGCTCTGGCCCGTCACTGCCACTGCCACAGACAAAAAACTCAGTAAAATCCCTCAGGGAACACCTCCATACTTAAAAAATCCATGCAACAGCGCACCTATTTACTTCTGCCTTAAAATTTACATGGGTGTGCTTTGTATGAAATTCAAGGGAGAAAATCTTTTGATAGCGATTAGAATTTTTTTTTTTTAAATTTGAATTATAGATTTAATACTTATACTTAAATGTTTAACCACCAACTTCTCCTATATTAAAAGTATAAAATCTCACACCAAAACCCAAAAACATTGTAAATAAATTTAACTTTTTAACTTTAAATTTCAGTCATTGAATATTCAAATAAATAAATAAGTCAAAATTTTAATTAAATAATCACAACTTTTACTTCAACATGTTTTTCTAAGGTACTTTAACATTTGTGTCTCAAGAAGTAGGGTCCCGAATTTTCATCAAAAATATTGGGTTCAAGTACTCTTGGGTGGTCGCTACTGAAGAATTAAATTAGTAATCAATAGATTCAATACAATGTACTGTACTTATATTTTGCTCAAACAAAAAACGAAATGAATAAAATTATCTAAGGATTAATTGCTTTACCGTGTGAGGGGAATGCCATCACAAGATTATTGGAAGATAGAATTTTCCCTGTAGAAGAGTGGGATGGAGAAATTACCCATTCACTGAAGTTCCTCCAAGAGGAATTAGTTCCATCTTTAAAATGGTGAGACCATTTCTTCGCCCTTACTCAATTTAGCAAATTTATAACTAAAATTAATAAATCTGGACCAATACGTATTAAGAACTGATATTTGATAGAATTTGAGGTGGGCCTGACTCCTCACCCTATAAGGCCATGTTAGAATTTAAGGTGGGTCCGACTTCGCACCCAATAAGGTCTTGTTGAATGGGAGGATTACCCCCTCTTATAACCCAATAAGTTTGAGCGTGCTTAGTCGATGTGGGACTCCAACACTCCTCCTCACGGTCAAGCCCATATGTTGGGTCATGCCTGTTATTGGAGGTAGTTGCTGACTCTAACTCCTCACCTGCTGGTTAAGCGCTCAGCTCAACTGAAACTGAGCTCTGATACCATGATAGAATTTGAGGTGGGCTTGACTCCTCACCCAATAAGGCCTTATTGGGTGAGGAGTCAGGCCCACCTCAAATTTTATCATGGTATCAGAGCGTGCCTAACTCCTCACCCAATAAGGTCCTGTTGAATGGGAGGATTATCCCCTCTTATAACCCAATAGGCTTGAGCGTGCCTAGTCGATGTGGGACTCCAACACTTTCCCTCACGGTCAAGCCCATATGTTGGGTCATGCCTGTTATTGGAGGTAGTTGTTGGCTCTAATTTCTCACTCGCTGGTCAAGCGCTCAGCTCAACAGAACCTGAGCTCTGATACCATGATAGAATTTGAGGTGGGCCTGACTCCTCACCCAATAAGGTCTTGTTGAATGGGAGGATTATCCCCTCTTATAACCTAATAGGCTTGAGCGTGCCTAGTCGATGTGGGACTCCAACAATATTTAGTAAGATGATAAACATTACAAACATTTATGGTTTGTTTGGTTCAGGTAATAAAAGATAACTCTGATAATCTATCTTTTAATCCGACCATTATCATGTTTGGTTGTCAAATGGTAAAATATTCCGATAATATATATTCCAATACCAATATTGATTACTGTAGATAATATTGGGGGTAATCCGATTATCAACTGAAAGGGAGTTATTTTTTTTATTATCTAGGTAATCTAAATTTTGTTCTTGTTTTACCCTTAATTAATAAACATTTTGGACACAGATGTCATCATATGTCTACCAAATAACAATTAGTCCAAATGTGCAAAACGACTTCTGTAACCTCATAAATTAATTTTTTTGACAAAAAATGCCCATAATTATTCACATGAATACCACTCAAAATAAGTCGGCCACTGAAGACAACTGTCGGCTGTTGACCACCACTATTGGCCGCCATTGGCAATCGTGCACTGATCTGACCATTTTTCGCCAGATTCATGGCAAAAAATAGCTAGATCCATGGATTTGGCCAGAAACGACGGCTAGATCCATGGTCGTTTATTTCTAGCCAGATCCATGGTTGGCCAGATCTGATCGATCATGCGCTGTTCTGACAATTATCGACAGTGGCTGACGGTGGTGGTCGATGGCCGACAGTCATCTTCGGTGGTTGGGAGTATTTTGTTAAATTTTAAAATTTTGTTGTGGTTGTGATGTTTTAACTAAATTCTCAAATATAGGGTATTAAAAGTAACAATAATGCTATGGACACCGGGACTGTGCACTGAAAATCTTACACTGAATTATGTGTCATGTGATTCAGACCAACCACATATCCTGATAACAAATATTTTGCGAGTGAACGGCCGTTCATCAACTTTGGACGGTCGTTCACTGTTATTGGACGAGAGTCCATTATATGTGGACGCCCGTCCATGTGAAATGAACGATGGACTCCCGTCCATATTATATGGACGGGAGTCCATTTACTATAGACTGGGGGCCACATACAATGGACGCCCATCCATACTTTTAAAAAAAAAATTCTAAACAAAAATAGCAAGCCCCTCTTCTTCTTCGCTCTTCTTCTTCGTCTTCATTCCCCATATTCGCCCTTCTTCTTCTTCTTCGTCTTCATTCCCCATCTTCGCTCTTCTTCTTCGTCTTCATTCCCCATCTACGTTCTTCTCTTCTTCGTCTTCATTACCCTTGAACATCCTTTGTACCTTAGTGATTCTGTTGATGATCTGGATAGATTGACTGGAGTTGAAGATAATGAGGTTGTTACGAATGGTGATAAACCATTCGAGATTCGCCCAGGTTCTCAGTTGCTAGCCTTTTCTGGTGCATTCACATCTGCTCAGGTGAGAGATGAATTTGATACGGAAATGGATCAAGATAATAGTTCTGACAGGGATGGAACAAGCACCATATTTGAGGAAACTGAGAGTATCTTTGTCGGGGACGAAAAGTCCAGTTTTCAGTGAAGATGAGTCGTCAGACAACTCATTGTGGATTGATTTGGGTCAGAGTCCGTTGGGGTCTGATAATGCTGGGCACTTGAACAAACACCAAATTGCCTCTCCCTTACCACCTTTTTGGTTCAGTGGCAGGAAGAACCACAAGTGACTCTCTCCAAAGCCAACATCAAAGATGTATGGCAACCCAATTCATGATGACAAAGAGGTAAACTTGGGGCCAAATGGTGACCACCATGTGCTCTCATTTGATGCTGCCGTTCGATCAGTTTCACAGGAATTGGACTGTGTGAAGGAAGTTCCTGAAGAAGAGCAATTTGCGGAAACAACGGCCTGAGAAAGAACCAAATGTTTTTTTTAAAAAAATAATTGTTTTATATATAGATGAGTAGGGGTCTATCACAGTTCTGGGTTTATGCAATCAATGAATATTTCTTAAAAACTAAGAAAGGAATCTGAAAAAGATAAGAGAAAAGGGTCTTTTTCTTTTTCTATAAATATTACCTTCAAAACGCGTAATTTTTTTTTTTAATGATACTTTTCATCATTGTTGAATTTCTTGTTCTCCCATAGTCCGAAAAGATAAACACAAGAAGAAAAAAATAAAAAGATTGCGCGATGTTCGATAAATTATTTGAAAAATGTTATTATGAAAAAGTGTTTTAAGTTGAGTTGAGTTGAATTAAATCGAATAAGATCAGATCCTGAAAAATGTGTTAGTTGTTTGGTACTTTTTTTTGAAAATATTTATTACTATTTTTAACTCCCTATATTTGTTAATTTAGCTAAACACTCCCACAATAAAAGTTTAAAAATCAACAAAAGCACCTTAGTCACCCAAGAGGACAGCCGGCCGCCAACCACCACTATTGGACGGTAGTCAAAAGTTGTCGAAACAGCATACGATAGACTAGATATGGTCGGTCGTGTGCTAATATAGCCGTTTCCAGCCAGATCCACTATGGATCTGGCTAGAAATGGTCAGATCTATGGCTAGAGATCTAGTCGTCAATGACGACTAGATAGCCAGATACATCTGACCAGAAATAGCTTGATCGATGCACGACGATCAGATCTGGTCAATTATGCGTCGTTCCGACCATGTTGGCTGGTGGCAGTGGTCTTGGTGGATTAATTTTCAAATTGGAAGGAGAGAAAAATGCGACAGAGAGAGAAAAAAATATATAAGGAGAAAAAATATTTTGAGTTTAATAGAGTTGGATAGAAAAAATATTTTGAGTTGAATAATCTGAAAACAAGTACCCTATCTTTTTTTTTTTTTAGACAAAAAAAAGTGTTATTTGATTTGAATTAATTTTCAAACGGCCAGCAACATCTCTATAAAGATAAACTATTGAGAAGCTCATAATTATCAAATAAATTATGTTAAATTTCTTTGGTATTAGATCTAGTTGTCTGGTTGAGTTCCAATAAAAAAACAAAAAATAATCAATAAAAAAAATATTTGGAATATTCTCTCAAGACATACACAGCTGAATACTGATGCCGTAAATATACAAATGAATATTTACGGGTGGAAGCAAGGCGCTTCTCCTTCTCGGCAACCAGGTTGAGCCAAACGGTGCCGTGTGAATAACTTTACAGTTCACAGTCAATCAATTGCGTGTCTTATAGACCGCTTTATGAAACTGTGAATGTTGGTGTATAAATGTTGGCTTCTTCTAAGCTGGAGTGACACTCTCGAATTTATTGCAGCCTCTAATCTTGACCTGGACAACTCTTTCTCTCTTTGTCCCTTTTCCACCGTTGATGACCTCGCAACACTGTCTACGTGGCGCCTGCCCATTCAATCAATCAATCAATCAATCATAATTTCCAAACGTGTTAGACACCAAACAAAATTTCATTCACGGAAACAAAACATTCAAGCCTCCCGTATCTTGCACGAATTGCGCATAAAGATAAATGTAGTGTTGATTACCAAGTCCAACCATTTATTATAAGGACGTTCCAGCACGTTTCGTTAAACCACCAGCTTATGACCAAACATTCACGAACTGCGAAACAAGTCTTCACTTTTGACCTACCCGGTCAGCCTTTTGGGTTAACTGATAACTTAGATTAATGTTTTATTGGAACCGATAGATTATGGTTAGGCATGATCTAAATCAATGTATTTTAATTACCTGATTTTAAAAATTTATAAAATAAGGAGACACTGTTCTTACCATTTTCCAAACGTCAGGTGTCAATGTGGAGGCATAGATGCTGAAAGATTGGACGGCCAAAGCCGGAGCATAGTCAAGTCCATCACAAATTTCTTCATTTTCATTTATGAATCTTTTGTACGTCGTCAAGGTCTTGTCCTTTCCAACCTTCTCAACCCGATCCAACAAATAAATAAGCGGTCTTTCACACGGGTCAGGGCTCATGACTTGGGTGTTAAACTGGAATGGCTCGTCGCTCCAACTCCTCCATGTCTTAAACGTCGAAAATGCTGTTTCCAGCTTCTTTGCCGTCACCAAGGATGGATACAACTGCACCGTGTAACCCCAAGACACAGAAACGGACCAGTTTCGGCTAAAATCATAACAGAAACTATGCTGCAGAGCCCGATCAGGGTCCATTTTGTATGCACTAATTAACTTCTTGAGTGAGTCAATCTGAGACATTTGCGGAAAAATAGTTTCCACGTAGTCCAAATGATGTAGTGACACCAATGGAGCCAGTGGGTGCGCCGCCAGTAAGCCATACGGGTTCCCTCTTATATCAACCTAAAGCCATTAACCTTGACGAATTAATACTCAACAAAATATTATAAGTAAACTGAAAAATAGAGAGCTTCAAAAGAAAAAAGAAAAAAAACCTGATGAAAACCAAGTTCTTTAGTAACGGGTACACCGATCTCAGCCATGCAACCTTGTACTTTCTGATCAGACCCATAAAACGACGCGTATCGATCAATGCATCCATCTAAAACCCTCACGAGCTCAGCGGCTAAAGGGTAGCTGATAGCGAAGCCGCCGCCACCGTAAGCCATGGTGTAGGAATGTATAATATCCTGCTCAATACTCTCACTATTGGCACCAATGTAATACATCTGATTATGATCATATTTCCCTAACACGGTGATCAAGTTCTCCACAAAAAAAACTGTGTCGTCGTCTCCCATAACGAACCACCTTACATTATCCAATCCAAGCTCGAAACTTTCTTTCACAATACGAGCAATACGAACAGCAGAGCGTGAACCGTACCAGCTAGTGTATTTAAACCTCGATGTGTCCTCGGAGACTTTGTACGGTGGCGATGTCTCCGGCCAAGTTCGGTTCGGCTTCTCCTCCAGCCAAACGTACCCACGGGAAATGTTAGGCCTCCACCATAAGTCAGAGTAATGCCGGCGGGTGTCCCATGACTTTGCTGAGCCGCCGATACCAAACAAAATGTGGGATATATTTGTCTTATCATAACTGATGGAAGTATTGTTATTAGTATTAACAATGTTGATGAATTTCTGTTGAGTGATTAATCCGTCACATTGAGGGCAAGAGTGGACTTGAATATGCGTTGTAAAAGAGTGGTAGAAGAAGAGATAGATGGAAAGGAAAACGAAAATGGCAAGAGTGGCCTTCATGAATAGAGAAAAAAGGTCACTCGGTTTTATTGTTGGGAAAACCAGAAACTTCCCCGGTTTCAAAGGATCTTGAATAGTTTCTCTTGTAGATGACATGACGATGGATAGATAGATATGAGAATTTTGATTTTGAAGGTTAATTAGTTTTGAACGCAATGGAAGTCAATCCCTTAAAAGTTGCAGAGTTGATCACCTTCCTCCATAGTTTCTCGCCTAAAGACGACTCCTTTTAAAACAAAACAGGGCAGACGTGATGTGACAGATTCTCAATTAATTAATATCAAATTTCCAATATTATGCCGACACCAAACAAGAAGCTGCCTTTTCTGTTTGACTTCTTCTCACGATTTAATTTTATTCTCCAACTCAATTTCTTAACCAAGGAACTACATAAGGAGATTATTAAACGACATGGAACTATGTCGTTTTAGGTTTTTTTTTTTTTTTTTTTTACTCCAATACACACATTTAATATTCACACAATTTTTTTGCAACCGTGGTTTACCGTTTACCATACGCAGATATTAAACTAAGTTTAATATAAAAATTCGGTTTGTTCATTTCAACTAATAAATGGTCCGCATTTAACTTATATGCCTAACAACATTTATTATTTAATAAAAATAATAAATAATAAATGTTATGCTTATATGCCTAACAACATTTATTATTTAATAAAAATAATAAATAATAAATGTTGTTAAGCATATATGTTAAAAATAGTCAATAATAAATGTTGTTTTTATTTAAGGAAATATTGTTTCTTTCAATAAATTATGAAAATGAATAGAGTTCCTGAATGGGAATATAACATATATATATACATCTTCTCTAAAAAATTACCATAAATAAAAATATAGATTAAATGTGTTGAATCTTGTATACAAACTGCTTTGGTATAAAACGATATATATATATATATATATATATATACTTCAACTTAACTAATAAATACTCGAGAATGATACGTTGAGAAATGCTTTCACTTACAGAAAATAATAATAATTATTTAATTTTATATTTTGTCTCTTGTACACATCAATCTCACAATGATATGAGAAAGTGAGAAGAAAAGTGTTCTTAGCACTCTTCGTGATATGTTAATAATAAGAGTAAAGTCTTGCTCTTATTAATTTATGTTTTAATTTGTTTTATGTTGGATGTAAGATTTGATTATTGGTTCTAATTTACTTTATGTCTAAATTATATGGAGATATTTGTGTTTGATTCAGCTACTCTTTTAAAGTTTCCGTCAATACAATGCAAAGCATATCATATCTTAGTACAAATTCCTTTTTACAAACTTTACTTAAACGAAACTTATTTTCTTGATCATCTTCTTTCTCACTGTATCATGTTAGTTAGTTTATTATAATAATAATAATAATTTTACAGTAAAACATTTATATAGTGATGTACTATATAAGAATAAACTCTATATAGTTATAAAAAAAATTTATTCCAAATTTAGGATAGTTATAAATAAGAATAAACTGTACATTATAATAAGTTATAATTTTTCTAAAACCCGTCTTAAGAAAAGTTGTCTCCACATAGTAATATTTATCTGTATATATATGCTATGTTACATTAAAGGTTTAAGATGAAATAAAATATTTATCTTAGAGTTTCTTAGCATAAAGCTAGTTTAAGTCAAAATATTTATAGTTTCTTATTTACCCAAAAAAAAAAAAAAAACAACAAAAATATTTCTAGCTTCTCAAGTATGTTTAGAGTTTTTGGATATAAAACTTTTTGTATTTCTGTATTATTATCCTCATGATTATTTCCTTTATCTTTTTGTTTAATTATAGCAATGATTTCTTCTTTAGTTAAAATATAAATGACTTATTGCTCATTTGAATGATTGAGAAAAATATTAATATTCCTTTGATTTGTGTAATGAAGTTTTCGAATCTGATAACTCATTTCTACAATGACTATTTGATTCTATTTATCCACTTCATTTGTAACTTGCAATTCATTGACATCGGGGATCCTAATTTGATAATGATTAAAACAATTGATAATAGTATGTGGCTTTACATCAATTTGCTGCATAATTTTGTAATGATTAAAACAATCGGCAATATTTTGTGGCTTTATATCAATTTGACAATGCAGTAACTGCATTTACAATTCCATCAATGACACTTATCTTTATTGGTTTCAAGACACGATCATCTATCCGTTTAAAAAATAAGCAATTGAAGCATTGAATTGAAATCCTAATAGTATTAAAACATTAATTGAAATTCTAATACTATGCTACCAAAACATGAATTATAAAGAAATTTTTGTTACCACACTTCTATTAAGTTATAATGTCCTCATAGTAATAAAATTAATTAATCCAACCATTATGACTATAAAAAAGTTTTATTGTACTATTATTATTTTTAAAATGTCTATAATTTTGATTATATATGAATAATTGTTTAAAATTTTGCAGGTATATCATCCCAGGAAGCTACAAATACTGGTGGAATATTTTCATCCAAAAAGGCAACATGTAAGATTCAACCAAATTACGGCAAAACTCTTAATAATCTCACCCTCATCTATGGGGGTACTTAGTAATTGGGCCCTAAGAGGAGATTTGTGGGTGTAAATAACCCTCGCACATTAAATACTAGTTCGTCCATTATCCATTGGATGCTTGCCCGCCGGCCTAACCGAAATGCTAATCAGGGCCAATTCTGTCTGGACTTCAACTCCAAGGCCTTTCGAATGTAATTTCTGGCTTGTATTTCAGGTTTAGGCCTAAACCTATACACAAACAGGCTAGCAGAACCCATATCCTGTAAAAGTAGGCCCAATAATGCATTCTGCATTGTAGAAATACAGTCTTGCGGAAAATGTACTACATTTCTTCTACGGCTGAGTTTTGTTATGCGCTCCAGAAACCGTACTTGAGTTGGGTCGCGATGGGCGATGAGTATTTACCAACAATGAACAGGTTAATTTGTCAGATGACTCAGATTCATAAAAGCATGTCTAAAAATTTACCGCAGATTTGATTGGAGCTACATGGAGCTGAAACTGCAAGTTAATTATATCTCAACCTCTGAATTATCTTCGATGACTGCTGCAACCTAAATTCATTAATGTTCTGTATCAAATGCAAGGAACTTAATTTATCAACATTTACTTTGGAAGAGAAACTCGAGGAAGAATCATTTCATCCACTAATTAATTAGCTAAATGTGACAGCAAAATTGATTAAGTTCCAATCAAATAGAGATGCTTAACTTAACTTTGATAAGATTGTGAACATGGAAACACAGTTTAAACGAATCAAAGAAATTACAGTGATGCATCCAGTTCCAGTGTCAGGTTCCTCTTATCTTAATCATAATTATATGTATTCTGAAATTGAAATTCCTTAACTCACTTAATAACTTGACCAGTATATATAAATAGCTAAAATAAGAAGCTATTCATGAGTGATTAATGAAGAGAACTTAGCTCTTCAAAGTGTCGATTTCGCACTTATCTTAAATAGCTACACTTGTCTTCAAATGTAAAGCAATTTGGTTCATGAGCAACTTGAACCTATATATTGAAACAATCTAGAATAATATGAAATAAAAAACAGTAAAAATATAGAAGTAAAAAGAAAGAAAAATACATACAATTTATTTTGGTTCACCAAACTAACAAGCTACATTCAATAAAGTCAATATTATTAAAATGCTATCTCACATCTCTCATTATAATGAATGTAATTTGTTCTATGATTTATTATCACACTCATACAAGAGCCAAATAAGTTTATATACCACTATGTTTAAAGAGTAAAACCTAATATTAAAAGAATCTATTTTCTTAAGCCCAAACCTAATTAGGAATTAATTACTTAGAAAAATCATTTAACGGCTTTTCATGGAATAGGCCCAAACCGTCTACAGACACCTTATTGTTGAAGTGGTCGACAACTCCAACATATATGGTGATGAAAAGCTATAGAGATAGAGGTAGATATAGTAGGGTTTAGACTTAGATAACTTTGTATGTCTTCATTTAGGCCTCTTATTTATTCAATGTTGTGTAAAAAATATGCACAAGAAATTGGTAATATGCAAGGATGCAAACCATCTATATGGTTTTGGAATTCTTAACGAAGGAGATATCATGATTTCCTTACACTTTCTTATATCTAAATTTTCCTATTTTTGTTTTAGTAATCCTGATTAGATAAATTTTTTTTTTTTGGGGGGTAATTAGATAATTAGTCTCTTGTTTTAGGTGTTTTCCATATTTTGTTACTATTAATAAGTTTATGTGCTTTCCTGTTGATATTTGGATAATGCATTATAACTAATTAGTAAACACTATGTGAATAGTGACATTTTAAAATATTATGTATGAATCAAAGAGTTGTATTTTTTTTTTTTTAATTTCAATTTCCTAAATATTTTCAGAAGCATTATATATATATATATATATATATATACCTATCAATACTGCATGAATAAGACTAAGTACTATAGCAAATTAGGTTACTCATTTCAATTTAGCTGCAATGCTAGAACTATATATATACGCTTAATATTTTTAAGGCATATTAATTAATGTGAAACCAGGGTTTTATGATACACTATTATGATTTATTCATCATAGTTTATCTTATCATTTAGAATGTAATTTTATTCTATATATATCTTTAACATCAACTAAAACGGAAATCATATACCATAAACTATTTCTTAATCTTCATTGTAAGATATAATATTGGTGTTTAAAGTTCTACCTGAAGGCTGAAGAGGAAGTGCATGCAGATACAATATTATTCATAAGTCATAGTATCGAGGTCTTTGACTGACAGAGATGCCAAATTCCTCCTTATGAGCAATCTATTTATGAACCTGCATCTCTTATAATTTCAGAATTAATGAACTACATTATTATTGTGATTTCATTGTACTTTTTAAGTTCTTATAATTTTCCTCGTGTTTCATTTCTTGTTCAAGTATAACTGTATCTAATAATTTAGGTAAAGATTACCAGCCTGAAGTTTAATCATTTCAAGATTTATATGAACAAATCACAAGTTATATATATGATGAATCATCACAAACAATTATCCAGAGGGAAAGAGATGAGTAGGAACTGAATAAATAAACTTCCAGCAAAAAGGAATTAATTAAGATGTTTTGATAATTATAAACTTAGTTTTACAATAAAAAGCCGCTTCAAGCTAATATGAGCGGCATAATCATCCCTTTTATATCCTTAGAAAGACCATTAAGAAAATCTTTAAAAAAAAAAAAAAAAAGGAAAGGAGAAGAAGATGTTGGCTAAGAAGAAAACCTCTTTCTTAGATTAACCTGCAGCCTATTTGCTTGAAGGGCCAAAAAATCCTTTGGTGCTTGTGGCTGATGTCTCTTGAGGTTCGGGTCCTAACCGCAACTCAAGGTCCAACTGTATCCGTGAAGAACTATGACCGAATTGCATCCTCTGCTCTTCATTCTCTCTGGTAGGAGTACTACTTGACGACGAAGGAGTCGCGGAGAAGAAAGGTAGCTGCTGAAGTTCTTCAACATCTTTACTCTTAGGCGTAGTGCTATGATCGTCTTCTCTGGAGAGAGTGCACGGTCTTTTGGGAGTACAACTTTTTTGTTCACTAGATTCCAATATGGCTGAACTTTTCTCTTCTGATACGTCTTGTAGTTGATCGATCGAGCACGTCTTTGCAATGTCCAATGAAAGTAGATTTTCTTCGGCGAATTGCCTGAGCTTGGCCCTATCTTTTCTGTGAATATTCATGTGACCTCCTAGTGCCTGAGCGTTTGAAAACCCTCTTTTGCAGAAGGCACATGTATAAGACCTAACATGGCCTGAACCCAGAAGTTGATCATCAGAGTTCCACAATATTTGGTTAGACTTTTCTACGCCTTGGGGTTTTGTTTCCATTTTCAAGCTAAGAAGAAACGAAAGAGAGAGAGAGAGAGAGATTGAAAGAAACGAAAATGGGCAAGTGGAGATGGTCAATTTGTCGGTTGCGAGAGATGTTTTAATTCATTTAGATCAGGTCAGGCCTGTTTTTTCCTCTGGTAAGTAACTTGTATGCATGAGCAACCAAATTACCATCATAACCACATAACGATGGTCAGACAAGTAAAAGGTTGAATTGGCTCCATTATTATTTACTAACAGCGGCAAGTTTCAGTAGTTTATCAGATAGAATGATGTCCTTATACAATTGTTTAACAAGTCAGCAGTGTATGGCAAAACGGTGATGACATGGTGCATGCCTATCAATTAAGTTCCCGTAAAAAACTAATTAGCTAAAAATTCCCTTTGAAAAGAGTGGATCAGTAACTTAGACTACAAGTTATGCTCACAGTCACAGCTTATATATATTGCAACTCTTGGACTTTCTCAATGGTTGTTTAGCATCTGGAGAGAGTTCTTTTAACTTTATGAAAAGCTAATCTAATATATATTCTTTCATGCTTTCTATACGTTAAAGTTTTTAGTGGTGACGAGAGCCTACTGGGTTTGTGAAATAAATGTTTATTCTTGGATTAAGCTGAGTATTTATAAACAGAACTTCTTCCAGTTTATTATAATATATATAACGTACGGTAGATAAAATGGCCCATCGGGTTCAGATTAGAGGAAAGTTTAGACAAGTATAACTCAATTATTTATTGTTGATGTTGTAAAACAAGTCTCCTAATTAAGTTCCATATATATATATATATGATTTACGCATTCTTATTCAAGTGTACATTATTTAGTCTAGTTGTTGAGTTCTTCTTTTAAGAAGTTTATCCTGCTGGGTAAAGCCATCGCCAGACTGTGCAGTGATAGTGACATGGTTGTAAAATATTATCTTCAGTTGCACATTTGAAGACTAAACGTTCTTAGATTAAAGACAGAAAAACCCAAGGTCAAAATAAAATTCCGTGTTCCTTTTGATCACGAGCTGTTTATTTTTATGTTCTTCAACAAAACTTGGAATATAGAAAACTAACATAATTTAAACATTTCTTTCCAGGCCTCCGATCTCATTGTAGAATAATTTGGCCGTCTTCTCTGTTGGCTGCAAATCATGGACACACTCCAATTAGTTTAAGATAGTCTTACCCGTTGACAGAGCTGCGTTGACATGGATAATCTCCAATGTGTATCTATATGTGTATTTATACAATTCAAAAGGGTACAACTGCCGATCGATTGACCCTTAACCAGTATCTTATTATATGTATTTTTAGGGCATTTTGACTACGCACAGATTAAATAAAATATGGGCGGTCTTTGTTTTCAGCAGGCATGCTGATTTCTGATAATAAAAAAGATATTGTTACAAGTTCATGCATCGAAACTGAAACAAGGATTAGAGATCAATTCGGCCTTCTGTCCAAGGAAGTCATTACAACTAAAAATCTATATTAAAATACTAATTAACCAGGAGATGATCGATGAATGCAATGACATTTACTTGTTTTTATTGATTATTTATATTCAACATCATCTTCTGTTAGTATATTACGTGGGCCTAACAGCTCCATGACGTGGCAAAGTTTCATCCGACTAAGCACTTGGCATGATGCTGTGCGATGCCATGTTTTCGATAATGACACTTGTGAGTGATATTGTTAATACTTAATAGTGAAGATGTCTGTTGTTATCCATGCACAGGCTCATCATCACCGTCCAAAAGGATGACTTAAATAGAAATATAAAGGGTTTTGATCAGGCGGCCGCCAGGCGACTGAATTGTGGCGTTGAGGACGTCCATTACATTGATATCGCAACCGACTATTTCATCATCCATGTAAGTATTTTTAGCCACATGGAAAAAATATGTGCCTGACCGACCGGCATTGTTATATTTAATTAATCTCGCTATAATAATAAAATAGTATGTTGTTTAATTTATAAATTATGGTTTCTCTGTCACATGAAGCTTATAATTAAATTAATTTCAAAATATAGTTAACTGGCTGTTCTAAGTTGACCTAGAAAAAATACGTACACTCACGTCTTCGTTTGTCATGTACTATAAGTCTTTCTGGCTTAAAGAAAAATATATGACACCAGTCCTCTGCAATAAGGCCTGTCTTAGTTATAATGTGATCACGAAAATGGAGAGCCTGCAGTTTGTTTTTTGGCTTAAGGTTTTGGTGGATTATTGACTTTGAAAATGAGAATAAATTTTATAGATAACTATGCACGCAAAAGTATGATAATATATAACAATCATAAGCTGATTATGTAAGCAACTTAGAGTGATAACTATGCCAACAAAAGATAAACTTGCAGGCAAAATAGTAAAAGATTTTATGACTTTTCTATTTCATCACTTTCCTTTTTCCTTTTTTTATTATTGTAAGTTTCTTTTCTATTTCGTTGTTTATGAAATTATGATATTCCATTTTTCTCATATCTATCGTGAGAGAAGCCAAAGTTGTAGATAAGGTTGGAAATATGGAGCTTACTTAAATTTTAATATTATAGGGATTCTTCTTCTAATGAATTGGTAATTGTAACGTAAAATCTATGGTTGAGTTGAAAGAGGATGATCTTGTGAGGACAAGGCTACTAACAATCTTGTAGACTCATAGGGACAAAGAAGAGTGAACGCGAAGGCTCAGGGGACACCAATGTGCTGTCAGTTATAGACATTTCGACGCTCAAATCAGCACGGTTGAAGAGAATTTAGTAAGCCTTAGAGTGGGAAATGGTTTACTGAGAGTGTTTGGCTAGATCACAACTTATCGGCATAGAGTGGTCGGGGCACGATGATTACAAGAGTGGGGCACGACGATTATAAGAGTAGAGTTACTTGGAACTAGGCTCTATGACAAGGAAAAACAGTGGTTATTGCGAGCAAGAACTTAGTAATTTAGTAAGATGCTATGATTGAATGAACAATGAGAGGCTTGACCTTTGTTTATATAGTGAGCCAAGAAAACTTGAGTCCTTGTAGAACTAGACGTTCACTTAATTGGAATTTGAGTAAATAGAATACTCATAATGCAAATCCATGTAGGAGTAGGAGTACTAGTTCATGTAAGATTAGAAATATTGGATGAAGTAGGAAATGTTTGGGACTTAGAGTCTTATTTGGAATGAATACAAGCTGATGGGCTAGAGCCTGATTTAGCTTATCTTGTAGAAATGCTCAACTTCGTGGAGTGACCCAAAGTGTAGGTTGGTCCAGTTCATAGGATGACCTTAATCGTAGAGTTATCCAACTTGTAGAGTAGCCCAGCTTATGAAGAGGACTGACTCGTGGAGTGAACTAGCTAGTAGAATAGGCCGGTCCATAGAATTGATTTTCTTATAAAAATGGGTCATCTTGCTGAATGGTTTTTCCACAAGATGGATTTAAGCATGGGCTTAACCAGGATTGAGCTATAACATTGGACCGTATAGTGTTTATTTCATTATTAGACTTGACAAGGTCTAGTACATTTTTTGTCTATACAGTAATGAACAATTTAATTGTGGTGCCTTCATAGAGATAGGTTTGTTTCTTTTAACGGGACGATGTAATTTGGATAGCTGTTATATTTTGAAGTTGATCAGTTGCTTAATCAAAGTTAATTTCTAATGTGGACACTACTATTGTTAAGTCACTTTAATGTTAGTTGTATGCTTTTATTTTTCTAAGTATGCATTATTCTTTTGTTAGTCTATTTAGCTAGCAGCTTTTTATAATTAGAATACTCTTAAAAGGAGTGAGATCCTTCTACAGTAATTTTCTTTTTATTTTTAAAATAAGTTTCTCCTGTTGAACTTGAAGCGAATTTAATTTTCCATTAAAAAAATATATATATATGTTTATGCATATTTATCAAATTAAATTAAATTGGTAAATAAAATTTTCGGATCAATTTTGTGGCGTCNTAGCTAGCAGCTTTTTATAATTAGAATACTCTTAAAGGAGTGAGATCCTTCTACAGTAATTTTCTTTTTATTTTTAAAATAAGTTTCTCCTGTTGAACTTGAAGCGAATTTAATTTTCCATAAAAAAAATATATATATATATTTATACATATTTATCAAATTAAATTAAATTGGTAAATAAAATTTTCGGATCAATTTTGTGGCGTCATGGTTAAATCCTGATCGGAATTTTTTCAATGTATATGTTGTTAAAAAGGAAAAAAATCTAAATGGTAAAAGACCTTTTCTTTTTACCAGACTTGATGATGTTGATCATGATTTCACTAGTGTAATAGGCAGGAAAGATGTGTATATAATTGGACTCAGATGCATCGAGGTATTGCCGAAGCCCATTTTATTGTGACTTAACCATCTGTTTAATGAGCAATTTAGCATATCCAAAAAAATTAGGAATCGCATCACCAGCAGCAATAACTACAAGTTTAAAGCCATAACACTACTACAATGGAATATGTATACATGCCTGGCATATGACATTGAGAATTAAGGTCGAATAAGCTAGTTCAACAGCTTATCCAAAAAAAAAAAGCTAGTTCAACAGCACAATATCGTATATAATAAGGAGTTTGAAGGTATAGTATGAGTACTCTGGATCATTGTCCTCAACGGTTTCAAAGAGCTGATCACCACCACTTTTTGCCATCATCAAGGTTGTAGTGACTAGTAGAAGCCACTTACAGATCAATTTAACGAGTACTCTGTAGAGAGCACGTGAGATTAGTATCAAGCTCGATTCAATTCATGGGGTTCTTTTTTGTTTTTTAAAGGTTTTTTTATCCTGTTTCCAATTCAGTAATTTTGACTGAAAAAGGAGAGAAACAAACAAGAACTGAATTTCTGATATGTGTACTATAAAATGGGATAAATTAATTTGTGTGTCTTTGTACTTCTCCCATTCATGCCATAAAATTAATCCACATATATACGTGTATACGCAGAGACAAGCATCACCACATGCCTCAGCAGGGCTTTAAAGAAAGAAACATTAATTATGCTGACATTCAATGGCCAAATTCAATGTGTAATATTGCTGGCTGGCTCAATGAACATGCATGTGTGGAACATCTAATATATAAGAGAGAGGCTACTGCCAGACGCTTGCGATCATTTGTTGGTTTAACTGTTGATATATTATCGATCAAGAAGTGCACATATATAATGTTGGTACAAGGTATGGCAATAAACTGAAGTGAGAATTCCTTGGCCATTATAGGGCTTGATACTGCGCGATAATGTAGTGATCATGTGCGCAAAAAATACTATCCTTTAGTAGATCTACTCGATCTAGATTGAACTTTCCACCTATAAAAGAATTAAAACAACACAATGGTTGAATAAGATATTTTATGAGCTAATATGAACAGTATTTAGTGTACTACGTAAACTTATTATATTGAGTAGGGTTAATAGTTTGATGGAGCCTAATCTGTAAATAAATGAGAGAATTATACTGAGTGAGCTCGTGAAAGAGGAACTTGCTCCCATGCAAATATACCCTTAGTTGTCAAAATAATTATAAACAACTACTTCCAAACAACCAAACCAATTACTGTGGAATTTAATTATTCCTGAAAATTCTCATTCTTTAAACAATAATATGGAATTACAATATGCCCTAAACATAGAAACGCACGCCAGTTGAGAATAATTTGCCATTCCCTCACTCAATTCAATATCAACTCCTTAAAAAAGAGCAGAAAAACGACATATCATCCCATGTGCACTTCTGCCACTGCCACTGCCCCCAAAAACTTCACTGCAATCTCTCTGTATATATATCAGACCTTGCTAGATGTTATTAAGAAAAAACCTATCCAACTCAGCACTCTAATGAAGACAAATCCCAACCAATCACCTTTAAACTCTCTTTCACAGATGTAGAACTTCGTAAAAGCCAATGCAAATTATCTCACTTTCCCTTCTAGGCTTCTGCTACCCCAACTCATTAAAACCAACTTCAATTCATCGTTTTTAATGGAAAACATTTGTTGGGTATGAATTAAATTCCCTCAGTATCATAGAGTTTGTCAATGTTTTCTCTGAAAACTTAATAAAGTCGAGGAGATGTACCATCAAATTTCCTTTTAAAGAAAGTAGAAAAACAATCTCCTTGTGTTGGACACGAATTTAAAGACTGCATTTAGGGTTAGGGTTTAAATAAGGGGATTTATACTTTATTATTTACTTATTAAACACATAGCGTTTTTTTACGAGAGGGTGTATATAATTGATTATACATACAGAAGAAGAAACAAAAGATGCGTAGATAGCGCTTATTATCGTGATGCGATAATATTCTCTTTCTGATTAAAATATAGGGTATTATAATATCCTGTGCAATACTTAATAGACTGATTCCGGGAGTTGGTGCTATTTTGGATGGATTTTGAAGAAAGAGAGTGAAATTGAAAGAAAAAAGTGGGGAAAGAGAACACAAGTAGATGGACTTATATGCGGGAGATAATATAATATGTAACTGCAACAGATCTATTTTCTATTACGATAATAATAATTCAACAAAAAAAGGGAATCGATGTTCTGATATATCTGGCTTATACGTCTTTGAAAATCCATGTGTTTGTGTTGGTTAGTTTATTGCGTCTGATGGAATGTCAGTGAGGTACTGATTGGGAAAACGAGCTTTTCAATTTTCCATGCAGTTTTGCTCAGTTTAATTCTTCACCCTTCACACCCCACAATTTCCCTAATTGCATTATACCTAAAAACTATACTCTCTTTCTCTTCTCTTCACCCATCTTCCGATCACTAATACACACAATTACCATCTTAAAACTAAATTCTAAACATGCAATCAGCTTCCGGTAATCAATTATTTGTTTATGCAAGGATGAATGAAGGATTAAATTAGGATAAAATTTGAAGGCCGACTTAAATATATGTACCATGGTCAAATTCTGATATATATGAAAACCTTCACCTTAGATATATACAAATTAATTCTGTATTGATACATATATAATCAAACGGAACATGAAAACTAGCACTCAGATTAATACTGTATTACATGAAAGTTGATACAAGGATGTGTTTTAGGTCAAACCCTAAATCATGAGTAGCATAAACTGTTTCAACTTTCTAGTACACAAAATAACGTAATAATTAACAAGCAAAGAGTAAAATCTCGTGAGAGAAAGCATAGAAATTATCAATCTCAAATATTTCTGTTTGCTATGGTCCAAATACCTTGGTATAGATAGATGGAATCAAACAAGTTGTACTATGCTATCTACAGAATTAATAACAACAAACTTAGATGTGTTAATTCTGATCTCCTTCTTTGAAGGAAGGTGAACTTAATTACGTTCTTCAGTGACTTTCATATTGTTTTTTTTACACACTGCAAATTCATGACTTGAGAAAGCAAATTGATTGAGTAGAAAGCAAGAGGCCTAGACCTCAGGATCATGCAAAGAAGAAATATGGAAAGGAAAAATGAAGAGAACAGACAGCACAAGTCATTGAGACAAGTATCAGGCACTTTGGTTCTACTATGACTTTACCTTAGGCGGGTCACCAAGCCTGAGCTCAAGATCTAAGTCCTCAATCGAGCTGGGACCGAGTTCATGTTGTTCTGATTGAAGGCCATGCTTATCATCAATTGAACTTGGCTTCAGGAAGAAAGGCAATGATGATGCTTCTGTTCTCCTTCTCTTGCAACTAACAGTCTCCTCCTTTTCATCAGATAAATTCGAGTGTGTTCGTCGGACAACCAAATTCATGCTCACCGACAAATCGGTTTTCAAATAATCCGCAGTTTGCCTACATCCTGCTTCTAGAACTCTAGAATTCTTTTCTCTTTCATTCTTCAGATCAGAGGTCTGGTAACATCTCTCTGCTACTGAGTTTGACCATGATTGAGGGGAAGAAATAGGGGACCTCTTGTGGTGGTCCTGAGCTTTTGGAGAAGAAAAAGGAGGGAGAAAAGTCTTTTCTGGACTATTCTCTTGGGTTGGTGGAGCTGAAACCCTAGATGGTGAGGATGGTGATGCAATACTACCCAGATCAGAATTAGGGTTAGGGTTATAAACCAAGGTACAAACTTGAGGTGGGTATTGAAAACTCAAAGACGCAAAGGGATTTTTAAGGTGATTGCTGTTATTTTGATATGGGTCATGATGATGAATTTCATTTTGTGGACTTGGAGACTGCTTCAGTCTAGCTCTATCCCTCCTGTGGACATTCATGTGACCACCAAGAGCTTGAGCTGACCTAAATTCTCTTCTACAAAAGCTGCAGGAATAAGATCTTGGGGGCCATACGCACCCTCCTAGAGACCCCGCTGCATCTTCTGCAAAAGCTTGTTCTTCCCATGAATCATCATATGTATTTGACGATTGAAAATGAGAACTCAAACTATGTTTTCGTTTAGTCCACATCCAGTACCCTGCTTGTTCCATTGCGCCAAACTGAGGTCGTCGTATCTCAGAGATAGGATTGAAAACAAAGCCTTGAAGTGGGCAAGAGTACATGAATGGAGATGGAATAAAAGCAAGTCTATAATATCTAACTTTGAGAGCAAGCTTAAAACTACATATTAAAATGGTAAGGTTGAGAGAAAAGATTAGAAATTGATTGGTAATTAGTTATGGAAGGTGTGCTGGTGGGTACTCTACCGTGTCTACCACAGTGTATATATCTACCTCTTTTGGTTTATCTGTGTTTTGGCTTCCAAAGAGCAACTGTGAATGCTATTAATTTCCTATTTCTTGCTCTTTCATTGAGGCGTGGGTCCCTATAGGAGAGCCACTTCTGTAGTTTAGCGGCTTAGAGACAAACTGTTTAACCCTGATCATCTGACTGAAATCTCTTTAGAGAGATTTTTAGCAGAAGAGAAGGCTAACTCAATGCTCTAAATTTTTACACTGTTTCATCCTTTACATGTTACAGCTGCGGACATAATTTATTCGTTTTCCCATTGAGAGATTCGCATTGTTTTGTTTCTCCAATTTTTAAACTTAATTTTTCTATTTTATAATTTTGTAGTTTATGTAAGTTAAATTCACCCTTCTGCTTTGATTCAATCAATTAAAGACCACTGCTCCAATATTTAATTGGAAACACATTTTTTATAGTAAACCGCCATAGCACAAAGATTTTAGTAAATACAAATAAAAAGAAAATTATTACTCAGGGAGACATAAAAACTCAGGGAGACATAATGAATTTTACCCTTAAATAAAAAATCTTCTCTTTTCAAATAAGAAAACTGTGATTAGTAAAAAGAAAAAAATATTTCCTTTATCCACCTTCACTTGTCTTGTTATCTTTGTACTTGGGAGTCGATCCATTTTTATTGGATGCGAATGCAAGAGAAGAAAATTGTTCATCCACTTAGTCACAAAATTCAAATTAGTGAATTAATATGGAATTTATCTGTAAACAAAATTCCAACATTAAATACGCACGCGTACTTTAGAAAGCGCTCCAATTTTGTTGAATAAAATGTTATCTCGGTAAAAAATTTAAGTCATAATCAGAACAAATTTTTTAGTGGATTTAATGAAGAACAGAAGATGAAAGAAGCAGTAATTAATCATGAAAGTAACATGGTAGATACATTTTTTATTTTGGTAACCAGAGTGTCAATCCAGCTTCTACGTATTGAAACTAATCTCTAAGGTCTATTGAATATCTTACAAACCTAAAAGACCTGTTAAACCCCGATATTATTATGGTAAATGATCTTAAAGTTTGAACTAGAAACACAAGAAAGTGAACAAACTTCTTTGACCATGAGACCAATTCTTTGGGGTTTGTTATCGTAATATATACTTTTTCTTTATCTAACACAGGGGATTTGAATAGTGTGCTTATCATTTTCTAGTCATGTATCTTGAATTTTCAATATAAAGAAAACTCAAGATACATGACTTGAATATGAGAAGCACACCATTCAAATCCCTATGTTAGGTAAAGAAAAAGTATATATTACATACAAATAATTGTTCCAATATTACCTGCCCAATGTACATCTAATTTGTATTCTCAATTTTTTCAAATTAAATTAGTGTACACCTATATGCTTGCTACATTCTCTATGAGGCCCAAAAGAACGAAGACATGTGACAGATAAAGCTAGTTTTGCTCATTCAATAGAGATTGTAAAAGGTAAATGCTAATTAAGGAAAATCAATGGCGATGGATATGTTGGACGATGAGCCGTCAACATGTATTTACGCAACATTCTACTTTGATAGTTCACTGAGGTGTCTTCCTTTCCCTATAAACTAGAACAGTAAAACACCGCCCAAAATATGGAGGAAATTGGGAATGCATGAGATAAAGATAATCAAACAAGGTCCACCCTTTAGGTTTTCTTTTCATCAGGATTTCAGAATTAAAATTAATTTTAACGGAACCGAGGTCTGAGGATGTAGCATTGTGACAAGAAGTAGTAGCCGGCCAGGAGACTACTCAGTTTAATGTTTTCTTGTTCAAGTTTAGGCTTATTCTCCTCTAGTTAAAATTGTTCGAACTTATGTTTGGACTAGGCTTGATCACCACGGTTAGATATGAACGCAACCAAAATAAAAATACTATTTAATTGACTTATTTTGAACGGACGGAACCTTCAACCTAGTGAAACACCGCGTTCGATCATGCATGTCCATTGTCTTTCGACTAGAAGATAGCGATGTAACAAGTCTTTAGAAAAGTCGTCCCGGCCATGAAAGAATTAATGTAAGACTCTAAAGATTTAAGCTGGACAGTAGTTCCTGTACTTTATCTTCCCGCAGACGTCATATAAAAAGTTGAGGAGAAAGAGAAATAGTGTAAGGGAAACTAAATAGATATAATATTAATCTTGCAGACTATAACTGAGAAGACTTGTCTTATATTGTGTAGTGTGTACAAAACAACATGCAGGTAGGACACGGTTCCTAAATTTTTAATTTTTACAAATAAATACACTTACATTTACTAACAATAGATTTCAATAAGTCGATCACTTGATCTTAAATCATCAATTCCTTGATACATGTTATTTGTTACTGAAAATGTACGTCATTGATCCTCCTTAATACCAGAGATTAGGGTTTCAGATTTTCTTAATTATTGATTCACCATCAACATTCTCTTACCGATTCATGCTATTTGCCATTGATTTTTGCTCTCTGTCGGCAACTTGTTAAATCAATGGACTTTTTCTTTTAATATTTACTTTTAGAGTAAACCACTTTTTTCCACCCAAGGTTTGCCTTAATGACACTTTCCCACAAAAAAATTTCAAAATACCATTTTTCTCACCCAAAGTTAATATTCTGTTATTACTCAAAACTGATTTGGGAAGCGAAAATTCTCTCTGTGACCACCATTTGAATCTCTGGTCTCCTTTCTACAAAAATCCGCTCACTCTGATCTCTGATTTCTTGTTGATTGTCAGCCATCGAAAAGTTAGGGTTTCCTGTTCGTAGCTGATTTTCGGCTAATTTCGACAACAAATATTCAATCGGTCATCACAATTCAATCCACCAACCTCTATTCTACAAAATACCTCTTACTCTGGCTTCTGGTAACTCATCAAACGTCGACTGAGAAAATGAAGTGTATTTTGAGTATTAACGGAATATAAACTTTGGATGAAAGAGTGATATTTTGAAACTTTTTAGGTGGGAAAGTGTCATTAAGGAAAACCTTGGGTGGGAAAAAGTCGTTTACTCTTATTTTTAAAGCAAACTCTAAGAGTCGAAAAGATCATTGTCTTTATTAAACCCAGGGGATTAATTTCCTTTTCATACGTGTGTTTTTGAACCATAATAATAACATTTGGAATAAAGGTCTCACTGTACACTCTACAGAGATGCTATTCTTTTGTCTTTGTATCATAATATCATTGAGAACTAGCTACTATCTCGAGTGAAATATGCCTACAATTATTCTGGCTTTTCATTAATTATTAATTTTGGCACGTAAGACACCACATAGGATATTGAAGCAGTCTGGCTACCTCGAATATCACATGAAATCTGCTTGAAGAGAGAAATGCCGTAGTATTAAGCAACAAGTGTCCCACAAGCTTGACCATTGAATCATGTTTGCATGTGAAACTTTCAATCATTCTCCGAATAGCCAAGGTTGTATTTTGGGAATATAATAAAGAAAGAAAGCTTTATTATCATCAGCCGAACTTTGTTGTCTCTCTACTGAACTTTTTTGGAGTTTCTCAAAAGGTCTTTGAAGATCATGTCTATTCAGGAAATCTTCAATCGTAACGAATTTCACCTCCCTGATGGAAAAAGAGTTCCGTAATTTATTATTGTTACTTCGTGCCTAAGATTGGGTCAAGTCAATGCGTCATTTTAGCTTAAGCCGTTACGTACGTTTTGTCCATTTGACCGTCATGTCACGGTGGTATTTTATGCATATTATTAGCATCAAGATAAGGAGCTAGTTTTCAGCGTGATTTAAGGATAGGAATGGTTTTGAAAGCAAAAAGTTTTCTGCACAAGTATGATAAGATCTTAAAAAATCGTGCTATCTTCATATTATAATGATTTCTACTAATATTATTATGAAGTTAATTGACAAAATGTATTGTTTGCAGTCTGAACATTACTGTCAAAAACTCAATAAACGAATACTTGAAACTGATTAAAGAATTTAGCTTCTAGCTACTTGCTTGGTAGATGTGATTTGTCATTCGTAAGAATCTATTAATTCCAAAGGATTAGACAAAAGAGAAAGGACGTATAACTTTTCCTAACGTTATAATATATTATAAGGACTAAGACTATAAAAAAAAACACCAGTAAGATTGTCTTATCCCCAGAGATTCCAATCAAATTGTCTTCATTCCCCAGTTATTTAAATAATTTCCTTTTAAAAAATGAAAAACAAGTTCATTATTCAAAAGTTGGGCACGGGTTTGATATTGGATATGACATGACACTGGATGACCTGGAATTAATAGGGAATGACTCCAGCTTTTAGTTGCAGGTTTATATAACTGTAGAATAATTTTTCTTTGAATATCAGAAGATTTAATATCTTACTGTCACTATTAAAACAACAGTTTCTAAAGATAGCTATCTATCCTTGCATATATATCTTTAACAAACTAATAGTATATGCAGAATATCTGAAATTTGTGATACTTTCTTGCTCAAAAATGTTGATAATTGTCAAGCTCTTTTCTATATATTATATATCAAATTATTATATTTGGGCAAGAAGTGTCGGTAAGGTCATTATCTTAGTAACCTACTGAATTATTAAAAAATTAAATAAGGACAAATTTAGTTGCTAGTGGTATTTATAGTTTAATACAACTTTCATATACATGCATCTTTCATTGTTATAATAATCAGAATTATATATAACAGATCATTTAGCAGTACTGCAATCCAAGAAGCAACAAGTTAATTAATCTCAGTTATCTCAATTATTCATGGAAATGAATTGGAAAAAAGTTTTAATAATAATTGAGTTTTTTTTTTAGGTTGCAACTAAGACCAATATATGCAAAACTCCTGTATAGCAAAACCATGAAATAGGCAAAAAAAATTACAAGAAGTACGAGACTTTTTTAATAAATGATCTGTAAATTCTGAAGAACAAAATCTGCAGAGTTACTCAAAATCAAGACAAACATTGAAGGAAGATAAAGGTTTTCCATCTTTAAATTTCATTGATTCATGTAGTGATGGGAGATCATTGTATATTTTTGTTAAACTTGGACGTTTTTATTTTATATATTTTCTTCTTGAACTTTATGATAACTAAGGAGGTAAACTTGGTTTTCCCTTCGTTTGTCTATGGTCCAAAAACGATAGTTTAATTTGGGTTTGATTGAGAGTAGGTTTGGCCACTCTTTTTTTAAAGATATAAAGGACACTTGCCTTATATATATTAATCTTTTTATTTTTCTCAAATGATATTGTTGCTTGTTCTTCATTGTAAATATACCCCATCGACCACCTGGCTCTTACTAGAAGCGTCCGCGCAGTTGCAGTCTATGCATGACTAAACAAAACCTTGCTTTAAATTAAACCTTTTTGTTCACTACCCTAATGTCTTTAGCAAGACTTTGGTTCAACCATTTGTGATTTGACTGCCTAGAAAGTTCAGCTAAATCTAACCTGGAATAAGACCATTTACACCCATAAAGAAGCAATATTAAAAGCTCTTACTGGAATTTCGTTGAACAATATTATCGATTTCTTGAAAAACTGTGTGTTAAAATTATATCAGCTTCCAGAGTCAAGGAAAAACAGTGTCTGATATTGGTTGATAATATTTAAAGAATGTTTTAGTTCCTCCCTGCAGGATAACTAACACGCAAGGAAATTGAAACACTCCTCCGTGTTTCATGAAATCTCGGGGTTGTCATTTTCTAAACACTATATATCTGGTGGATCGACGAATGATCTTCATGTAGATGGAAGATGTTCACACATACTTGTCTGAATTTTTTAAATTAGTTACACAATCTTGACTCTTCCACAACTCTAGATTTAAACATAGAAACAGTTTTTTTTTTCTTTTTTTAATCACCGACGGTGTCTGGACCAGTTTGTGTGTACCTCAACTATTCTTTCAGAGTCTTGAAACTGTCGAACATATAAGAAACCATAATATTCACCCTTATTAATGTTTGGGAGAACTTGAATGAAAAAACTCATGTTACCTCCTTTTACTCCTTTACCATCAGATCATCAAATAGTAGTTTATATAGAAACAGCTTAATATACTAAATTTTGACCATTAATTTCATAAAATTTTGATATATTTAGAATCTAATTCTTTATATTTATGAACCTATTAAGTTTTATCAAGTGTCAGGATCTGAATTTAGCATTTCTATTGTAGTATCTTATAGAAACGTGAATTACCACATTGAAATCGAGTTACGTCACTTAGGGGGTGTTTTTCCGAGCTTATGGAAATTAACTTATAAGCTAATTTTAGCTTATAAGCATTTAAAATTTTAAGCAATTACGTGTTTGGTTAAAGTACTTAAAGTGACTAATAAGTAGTTGACGTGTTTGGTAAAATGTGGCTTATAAGTATATTTTATTATAAAATGACTAAAAATGATACTACATTAAACAAGAGTATACTATAGAATTTTAAAATTAAACAAAGATAATGTGGTAATACACTTGGTCAAACTAGCTTATAAGCACAGTGCTTATAAGCCCAAAAAAAAAGTATCTCCCCCCTAACTTTTTTTTTTTTTTGTTTATAAGTTCAACTTATAAACTCAAAAAATTTATAAATAAATAGGTTAGTTTAATTTTAGAGCTTATAAGTTAGACAAATACTCTTTCATACTCACAAAAAATGGCCAATTATAGACTTTTTTATTTTTTTTATTTGTCAGATTGGGCGGGCTTATGTGGTCCAAAATGAGCTCAATTGTAGGTGTTAAAATATGGAGGAGTATTCGGCTCATTCTAGAAATACTGGGCCTATTATTAACATCAATGTGGAACTATCCAAATGGTCCACGTTAAGATCAAGAGACAGAAAACCTTTAAAGATCTTCATTAACCCAATATAAACATATTTTAATTCTCAATTCAATTTCTCCAAGTATCTTTTCTACAAGAGAATAATAAAGATGGCATATTTTTCCGTGATCAACAACAAGGCTTATAAATCTAAAACCGACAATTTTATCTCACCCACCACCCTTAAAAAAGTCTTACTAAAAAACATTTGAGTAATTATCCAAGATAAGGTGGAAAGATAGGCTGATTTTTTCATGGGAACTGTCATTCACATTTTCAATCATTTTTTGTATGACCCGCTTGAGTTAATTTACGCATATCTCAATTAATTCTTGAGATTTTAAAACTATCGATCAAATACAAACTCCAATGACCACCCTTACTAGTAACTAATGGCGGATCTAGAAATTTTTTTAGCGTAGGCCAAAATAAAAACTAATTACATATTAATATTTTTGTTAGGGTAGGCCAAAATCTAAAAATTTATATATTAATATTTAAAAAAAAATTGAGGGTGGGCCATGGGCGGGATCTGCCCCTGTTAGTAACTGTGAGGACTTAAATTTGAAAGATCATATTAAATCCTCATTTTGTTCTTTTATCTTTAAAAGGACTCGGATTTAGAAGATTATATTAGTTTCTTATCTTAAAAGATCATGTTAGATCATCATTTTACTCTTTTATCATTAAGGAGATTCAAACTTGAGAAATAATATTAAATTATTCTCTTATTCTTTTACTATCAAGAAAACTCAAACTTCAAATACCATGATAAATATTTCTTTACTTTTTTTACCATCAATCATCGAAGCTGGTTTCTATCATTTTATTTTCAACAATACAAAATATTATTTCTTTCGTTTGTATTGTTTTATGTCTCGTATTTTTCACCAATAGTATTCAGTGCCTTCTAGGCATCAACGATGACGAGTACTAGATGATACCTTGTCGCATCTCAGGAAAAATGCCAAAAAAAAAAAAAAAAAAAGTGCTTTTTTTATTAATATTACTGGAAACTTCATAATTGGCTTTTCAGTTAAACTGTACAGAGTACCGAAAAGACAAGTAGTTGGCACTTGGTTTTTACNATGTCTCGTATTTTTCACCAATAGTATTCAGTGCCTTCTAGGCATCAACGATGACGAGTACTAGATGATACCCTGTCGCATCTCAGGAAAAATGCCAAAAAAAAAAAAAAAAAGTGCTTTTTTTATTAATATTACTGGAAACTTCATAATTGGCTTTTCAGTTAAACTGTACAGAGTACCGAAAAGACAAGTAGTTGGCACTTGGTTTTTACTTTTTCCGGACTTTCCAACTGAAAAGGCCGGTTTCATGGCATTATCTGTCTTTGATTCGTAGTCTTTAGTTCTGGTGACAAATTTGACAATTATATTAATAGTTCTTAAGTGATCACAAGTCCAATTTAGTACTCCGAGCAATTATTTGTAGCATAAACTGAGGCGATTAGATTTTGTCAACAGTCTTAAATCAACGACATTGAAACATGGCAAAAGAAACCCTGGTTTGCGGAGATCAAAGATGGTCACTTAAGGGTATGACCGCCCTGGTCACTGGTGGAACCAGAGGCATAGGGTTAGTGTCCTCCCTCAGCTGATATTTTATTCAGTTTTTGTGATCTTTCTTCTCTTTTCTGGGTCTGTGTGGGTCTGAATTTGAGCTTGTCTTATGTCTAACAGCTATGCCATTGTTGAAGAACTAGCAAAATTTGGAGCAATTGTGCATACATGTTCACGCAACCAAAAAGATATCGATGAGAGGATACAGGAGTGGGAAAGCAAGGGGTTTAAAGTAAGTGGTTCTGTATGTGACCTGACATCTAAAGCCGAGAGGGAGAAGCTGATTGAGACTGTATCTTCTGCTTTTGATGGCAAGCTTAACATTCTAGTAAGTATATATATATATATATATATATAGAGTTTCCAATACCGCTGACTCTTCTTTTTGTGCCAGACTGGGCTACCCAATGTTATGAATTATGATTAAAAATGCAGAATTAGATTATTTTTTAACCAAAATCAACAAATTGTTAACAACAGAACAGGAACACTGAACACCGTTGGGTATATCACTCAGAAATACGGAATTAGATGAAGGATGAAATTTATTAATAAAGATAATCTGGGGAAGGAAAAATAACTAATTGCAATAAGAATTCGTACGTCTATATATTGCCCATATAAGTGAATTCGGCCCCATCTTTATGCAAATGCGAGATGTCGTGGAAAATTTGAGCACCAAGCTTGGTTGGCCAAAAAGTTACTGTTTATCCAAAAAGTTAAAGGTCCCCATCTTCGAAGTAACCTTAGCCGAATGTAAGGGAGATCATGATTGCCAAAAAGTGAAAGACTAGTAGAACTTGGATAGATGAAAGACAAGAAATCAATCCCTCAAGTATTCATTGCCATTACCAGAAAGAGATCCATTCCACTAACTTTACTAGTTGATGCCTGATCGAATAAATGTAAATCAACAAGCCGTCTAAACTACTATAATTGCTGTTCTTGAATTTTGGATAGCCAGCTTATATGCATTTTGTTCTATTTCACAAAACTTTTGTGGAGTTTCTAAGGCTGACTATATTTCCCAGGTGAATAACGCGGCAGTAGTTGTAATGAAAGGGATAACAGAACATACTTCTGAAGACTACTCTAGAGTAATGAATACCAATTTTGAGTCTCCTTACCATCTTTGTCAACTTGCATATGCTGTCCTGAAAGCATCGGAAAATGGAAGTATTGTATTTATCTCCTCAGTTGCTGCCACGGTAGCTCTACCGCAATTATCCGCCTATGCAGCATCCAAGGGTATGTTAAATATCGATGGCTCATACTTTGGATTTGAAGGCTTTTCTCACAGTTCAGTAACAGTTTGTGCCATTATTATTTTCAGGAGCAATCAACCAAGTTACTAAAAACTTGGCATGTGAATGGGCAAAGGACAACATTCGCACAAACACTGTTTCACCGTGGGCTACCAGAACCAAACCAATTGTACTATTCCCCTGTCAACTCTTTTTAATGTGAATTTCGTTTTATTTTCAATTTTAAATTATCACTTAATTCAGAAAATGACACTCATTTAGGTCTTCCATTGAAGGGTCTAAATATTTCACTTATACTATATACTTTGTTTTAGGATCCGAACCATCCTGCTTCTGTGGCATATAAGAGGATAATAGCTCATACGCCAATGGCACGCCTAGCAGAACCTAATGACATTTCATCACTGGTGTCATTTCTCTGCATGCCTGCCGCTTCATACATCACTGGACAGGTTATTGTGGTTGATGGGGGGTATACAGCAGGCGGTCGTTAACAAACAAGTCTTTCAAGTTCACATCGGCAATTTGTGTCGTTAACGGTTAAGGATTCTAAGTCTCGGACCTGAAGAATTCTGTGTAATGGGTTATTGGGTTGTTCATGTATTGTAATGTTAAAGCTAAAATTCAAGTCACCAATTGATAGAACGTTTAGTAAAGAACATAGAATATATATCTTGCAGTTAAGAAAATCTGAACAGTTATGTTTGAGTTATGAGTAGGAACAATGTTTTTCAGTCTGTTGAGAATGACATAACAGCTATTAATCAACCAAAAAGTCGCAAGGCAGAACAAAGTGGATCATTATGTTTGGGTTTAGTTAGTGGAATAATTGTTTCAAGTCATTACCTATCTTCATTTCCAACTTTCCTCATTATTTTTTCGGACAGTAGAATTATTGGCTGTATAAGAGCTCCAACCCACCTCTATTAGGGGCCATGAGAACTTGAACTTGGAATATAATTTGATATTCTTTTGCTCTTTTGCTTTAGGCCATTAATTCTAACTTCCTGACAATACCAGACATGATTTGTGTCCAACAAAAATTAGAAATTAGAAAGTACTCATCATGCTTGAGTGCTATTGGTAGGTTAATAGTAAAGTGCTAGATCCCAACCTAAATTGGTCAAAACTCAGAAGTACAGTCTAGTCTATAATAAAGATAACTGTATGAGCCTGCACAATCTCCATAGGCCCAGAAATTTGATAAGCCTTGAGTTGTAAGGCCCGCAGAGTAAAAATGATTAAATCCTTTTACTTTCATGGGTATGCACGCTTGGGTTTTTAAGGTTGGATTTATAGTCAGGCTGGGCTTCACAAAATAAAAATAAGTCCGGCCCACTTGGGCCTAAAAATCTCTGAAAGTCTGATCTCTGAGTACAGTCCTTCCCCTTCATGTGATTCTATTGGGAAGCACATATCTCTTATTGAGATATCAGTCATATTTATTATAGAAGAAATAATCTTATAAGTAATACGAAAAGCCGAACAAGTAAATAATCACAAATATTAAACTAGTAAAGTGAAAAAAATACACGTGATTTACCCTGATTCATCCAAACTATGTCTACCAAAATCAATATTGAAATATCTCCTCACCTTTTTTGTTATAACTTATAATGAATATTCTAATAAACAGGCTAGTCCAATAGGACCTTGAGGCATCTGTCTCGCCTCTTATTTGTTGAAGTGGTCAACAACTCCAACAATAGAGCAGGTGAAATAGAATTACCTAAGCTGCAATAGATTTTAAAATATTTTGGGGAAAAATCTCTCTATCCAACTTTCTTGACTGATGCTTTCATCTTATCAAGGGATTCTGCTTATTGTTAGAAAAAAATAAAATTCGCATTGAAGAAAAACTTTTCACAAGCATCTGTTGGTTTTCTGATAAGGATATCACCAGTTGAATAGTATTAATTCTACAAGTTCTGATATTTAAATTTTTTTTTTTTTTTTTGAAGAAAGCTTTTTTCTCAAGCACTTCTGATTAATGAGCGTCCCGTTCTCTTTTATCACTAAGATTCTGCTATCAGGAAAATTAAATGCTTCCCACCAACTTCTTCGTGCCTGAGTGTAACCGGCCAGGTTATTTTTTATGATGAAGGATTGATTAGACATCTTAAGTGTTTGGAAGCATTATTCATTTAAAAATTAATTGATGATGTCTTAAAAGGATTCGTATCCATAAAGAAACCAAAGTTATTGGATGTACAACGTATAGAATTTGGTTGTTGCCATTGTTTTAATCAGGGGCGGATCCAAAGTGTAATAAGGGTGGGCCATGGTCCACCCTCAATTTTTAAAAAATAAAAATTAAATATATTATTCCATTTAGTTTGATTTTGGCCCACCCTTAATTTTTATTATCAAATATTAAAAAATTGTGACCCACTCTCAATTTTAGAATTAAAAATTTTTGGTTGGCCCACCCTGATAAAGATTTCTGGATCCGTCCCTGGTTTTAATCATTTAATACCGTCCCTTCCAAGTCTAAGAGGAAGTACCAATTCTCTCGCTGTGTTGCAGGTAAGTTGTGGCCTTAGTCATTAGATCAGCATTTGCATTTTGCTAATTGACATGTAATTAATAAGGAAATAAAATTTACCCTTTATTTATGGCCAGTTTGTAGCTTTTACGCACCTTAATTAATCTTTTAGAGTCTTGAAATTGACGATCAAGTAAGTTCTTTAATAGCTACCCTTATTAATATCTATAAGAACTCGAACTTAAGAGTTTATAGAATTTTCTTTTGTTTTTCTACCATCAGATCACCTAGTGGTAATTCTCGTTGACTCTTTGTTGTTAGCATCAAGTAGATAGATTAGATTTCCGAACACTAAGATAAGCCATCTTTATCAAAAGCGTGGCAAATGGCAACTTTGTTTTATCATACTGCCAATGCTATAATTATTTTTTGATACTGGGTGTGTTAAGATTGTTGTTTACTTAGTTTAGAGAATATTTTTTTGATATAGGATCACGACAAATTATGTATATTATTATCATATTAAGACATAGGATATTCTTGAGTGACCACCGGATTAGGCACGTAGTACATCATTAACTTGAATAATGAACATCCTAAGATCATTTATCTTAAAACCTCCTCCACCGGCAACGGTGTAAGAATCTTCTTTGTGGACAACCATATCAATCCTTCAAATCATACCCTGGTAACATGGATTCCAAAGTCTTTAATCATTTTTTAATGTATAATTTACCATTTGACTGAATGTGCCAACTGCCACCTTGGAAAACTGTTCAGAAATTTTTGCAGTAGTATAAACGAGGCCGGTCTATTTTTTTTTAATTTTTGTTTTTTTTTTGTTGGAATCCAGAAGTGGAGCTCAATTTGTCTTATAAGAACAAATATGGCAGTAGTTTAAACGAGGCCGGTCTAGTTTTAACGTTTCCCGCTTTCTTTTCTGAATTATTTATCGGATTCAATCCAAGTGGAGACATCTCCAAATGGGACACCAAGTTGATGCAAACGGCAAAACACCAAAATATGATCCAAATTTTGCTCCAATTAAACACAAAAAATTATACTAAATCGGTGTTAATGATTAGTGTCATACCAATTTGGTGGGGTACATCCACACCAAAACATATTTCATTTCTTTATTTTTGTTATTTATTTTTTTAATTTACGTTTATGTTAATTTAATTATTATTTATATTAATATCTATAATAAAAAATTTATAATAATTATATAATTAAAAAATGATAAAAAATTAAAAATAAATTTTGATTATAATATAAATATTAAATTTTAATCACTCAAAATAAATTAACACTAATTTAAAAATATTTAAATTAAAAAATATTATAAATAATATTATTTTTGGTGTAATATTTAGTGTAATGGATTAGAGATACAATATTAAAATGGTGTGAATTGTAACAAGTTGGTGTAAAAATTGTAATAATTTAGCGTTTGAAGTTGGAGACATGATTGTCAAATCATGTATCGTATCGTGTATTGAAAATCTAATTTTTCGAATCATTTATTGTATCATATCGTAGAATACGCTTTTTAAAAAAATTAATAAAATAATAATTTTTTTCTAAAAATTAATATCATCTCTATGATTAATTAACAAATTTTGTGGTATTATTAACTTTAAACTATGGTATAACATAATTAAAATTAATCATAAAATTTATATTTTTTCCTCTCAACAATTCATATCATTTCTAAAATTCATGTTAATATTTATATTTCCACTTGTGCTATTAATATTATTATCATGCAAAATGGGTAATAAATCTTCTTTTTTATTTTTCCAATGCAAAATAGGTAAATTTGGATAGGTTTTAGTAAACTGGGTTGGATGATCTAGATCCAATTCAAAATTTTTTTTAAATTTTTAACTCAAATTAATAAAATTGTATCGATATTTTTAAAGATACCAATAAATATATATTATATTATAAAATATATATTAATGTACATGATATATTCTCTAATAGGTCTTGTCGACAAGACTGGATACAAATAAGCATGGTTAGGGATACAAATAAGCATGGTTAGAGATGGTTTAAATGTTAAATCTTCTTTCGGAAGCTATTGGCTGTACAGATTGCAACCGCTGCAATTAAATACTATTTATGTTTATCTATATAAACCTTGTCTGAGGTGAAGGTTGCCGTCACAAACGAGGGAGAAAAATGTCAGAGATCAAAAACCAAAGGTGGTCTGTTGAGGGTATGACGGCCCTAGTCACTGGTGGAACTAGAGGGATCGGGTTAGTGCCGCCTTCTCCTTTCGTTGGTTTTCCTAAATGTTTATCTTCGATTTTATTTGTCAGATAATTTTTTTCTGTATTTGCTAGCCTGTAAATAATAAAGTCATGTATCAGATATGCAATAGTGGAAGAACTAGCGGGGTTTGGAGCGATAGTACATACATGTTCACGGACTGAAACAGAGCTCAATGCTAGGATTCAAGAATGGAAGAGTAAGGGGTTTAAAGTAACCGGCTCAGTATGTGACCTCAAAATCAGAGCTCAACGGGAGAAGATGATGGAGACTGTCTCCTCTTTGTTTGATGGCAAGCTCAACATCCTTGTAAGTTGAGCTATATCTCCAAGTCATTGCTTTAGTGGCTTAAAACTTGAGGAAAATTAGTGGAGGCAGATCTTAGAGTGAACTAAATTGATCAATAAAAGGAAAATTTTAGGTGTCAAATTGTATCAATTGAATGTGGTTTCTAGTTCATTTCTAAAGTTTTCTCACCTTCGATCCTTCCAAAATAAGCTTGTCGTTTTCGAGGGCTTTCTAATGATAATCAATTCGCTAGGTGAATAATGCCGGAACAGGTATTCCAAAGGAAACAATAGAATACACAGCTGAGGATTTCTCGACTCTGATGGTTACCAATTTCGAGTCTGGTTACCATCTGTGTCAACTCGCACACCCGCTTTTAAAAGCATCTGGAAATGGAAGCATTGTATTCATCTCTTCTGTCACAGGCTTAATAGCTATACCTCTATGTTCAATCTATGCATCAACAAAAGGTATAGTTAAAATTTTTATCTATTTTTTCTTTTTGCTTAGAAGCGACAATATATAATTTTTTAACTTCAGGAGCAATGAATCAACTCACAAAGAACTTGGCGTGCGAGTGGGCAAAGGACAATATTCGAGTGAATTCTGTTGCACCATGGATTATCAGAACCCCACTCACTGATACAGTAGAAGTATAAATTAATTTATTCCCCGGATCCTTTGAACATTAATGTTTTTGGAAGACATGGTGGTGATACTAATTGTTATTTTTCTCTATTTCCAGGGTGATTCCAAAGTGAAGGAAGTTATAACTCGCTTAATATCTCGAACTCCTATTCCCCGTGCTGGAGAGCCTGAAGAAGTTTCAGCTGTGGTAGCATTCTTATGCTTTCCAGCTGCTTCATATGTCACTGGGCAGGTTCTTGGCGTTGATGGAGGATACACTATATCTGGGTTCTAGACCAACTCAAAAAGAAAAAGATCTAATCTGTTTTGGCTAGTTGTCTTAATAACCTCTCTGTTAATAAAGAGAAGAGCTTCTTCAGTGTTGTATGTCTTTTAGATGTTCATACATATAAACTGGCATCATTGTTCTAAATTTCGTTTACATTCTTACATATGTAGAATGAATTATACAAATCTAAATTGAAGACTGCCCAATTCGAGATACTGTATCTTCAAGTATCTCCTAAAGTTTTGACGAGTGGAATTGGAGTGTTTAACCTGAGAGATTAAAAGAAAGAATAAGAGAAGCAGACAGAATCAGTGTAGTCTTGTATTGAACGAGAATCGAATACAAAGTGTCACAGTTCTTCTTTCCTTTTGCTTAGATTTATGGGCTTGACCCGTATAACTAACTTAGATAACCCCATTTTATTTTTAAGTTAACCCAATTCTGTTTGGGCCTATCTCAGTTTACATTTTAATATATACACAGCAACTTCGTAATAGCTAAATAGAACTTAGAACTTAGAACTCTTGGACTTCTCAATCAGCTGGGCATCGACGATGATATAGCTGTCACATTACACTGCATTAATGACACAGCACGTTCTTGCTTAGTGTGGGAAAGAGCTAAAGAGCCGTTGGAACCAAAGAAATAAATAATCATATACAAATATCAAACTAATAAAGGGAAAAAAAATATACGTAATTTATCTTGATTTACTCAAAAAAATAGACTATGTTCAACAGAATCAATATTATTAAAATATTTTCTTATTTTTCTCGTTACAATGAATGTATTTACTATGATTTGCTAATATCATACTCATCCAAGAGAATAATATCTTTATATATTATGTTATGAGCAAGGGTGGATCCAGCCCCTTTGAGGTCCTACCCTCATATTTAAAAAAAAAAAAAAAAAAAAATACTAATGTATAGGCCCACAAAAAATTACTATTACTATATATACCTAAGTCTATCCTCAGAATTTTTTTTTTTTAAATGAGAAATATTATATATATATATATCCAGACCCATAAAAAATTTGCTCTTAATATATATATTCCAAGCCCACATTATATTAAAAGTTTAAAACTCTCTCTACTCTTCTTCTCCATGGCTCCACCTTGCTTTTTATGATTTTGTCCCTAAAATTATTTACTCTCTCAATCTCTCATTCTCTTTCTCATACTATTCGCTCTTAAAACTTTTGAAGACTAAAATTGTTGAAGTTTTCACTACTCAATGTTCACAATTAACTCCGTTTTTTGTTTTATCAGTTTTAGGTATGTGTATTATTCATTTTAATTTAATTTATTTTAGGGTTGAATAATACTTGTTTTTTAGAGGTTTTTTATTCTAATTTGAGGGAAAAAGAAATGGATCTTGTGAGTTTATTTTGTATTTTGTGTCTAAAAATGTTCATATTTTCCAAAATTAAAACCTTAACTATATTTTAAAGGACGTTATTCTTCATTTTTCACCTACCACTTTCCTACATTTAAAACATCATCATTCAACTGCTCAAAATTATTAAAGAAACTTGAGTTACTATCTATGTTTATACCAAGAAAATTTCATATTTTTTTTATTAATTCATATTAAAAGGTAACACAACGTTAACTTGATTTAAATTTTGGTTGATTTTAGTTTAGGCTAAGTCTGATAAAAGTTATAAAAATTTATATTATAATTTTTTGAAGCCAAAAATTAAAAATTAAAATTAAAATAAGGTTTTGCTCAAGATTTACTCAACACATTTACTCAAAATTTTGCTTCTCATAAATTTATTCAAGTAAGAAAATATTGTGGGTGCGTTTAGTTCTCTATTTCTATCCATATTTCCAATCCTATTCCCCAAATATTGTTTGGCATATTATTCCAGAAATATTACTATATTTGTTTAATTATTTTTGGGCCCTTTAAGTTTATTAATTTCAAAACACCCCCAGAAAAAAAGTTTAAAAATGAGCAAAAACACCCCCACCTACCCATTCTTGCCAGATTCCGGCAACCACCGTCGGTGGTAGCCGGAATCTATCACAACGACTTACATCTCGACCGGAACTGACCGATAATTCACCGATCTGGTCATCAGCGACAGCCAAAGAAATGGCCATCGTTGACGGTCAACGACGACCATATCTTTGGCCGTCACTAACGGCCAACGAGGGGCTTTTGCAGCCGTCGACGGCCACATCTGGCTGTAGATATGACCGAAAAAGGCCAGATCTACGCGTTACGACACTGACCGGTCTGTGTTGTAACGCAATTTTTTGACCAGATTCTGACGGTGGTGGCCGGAATCTGGCACTGCGGTTGGTGTGGGTATTTTTGTCATTTTATAAAAATTTTATATATTTGGGTGTTTAATTAAATTAGCAAACCTAGGAGGTTTTTTTAGAAATTTTTAAATTCTACCTCGTAATACTCCCTTATCCAACTACCCAACATTATTCCCAAAATTCTAACCAAAATAATAAACCAAACGCACCCTGTGTTATTGCATTATTTTTCTTTTAAGTTCTCAATATTATATTATTATTATTATTTTTTTTTTTGTATAAGGTTTGATGATTTTTTTAAGTTTTCACTAATTATTTGACAAACAATGGCGGAGCCGCAAAGACCCACTAACCAAAAATCATGAATCTATCACGATAATGAAGAGAAACCTAATTATAATCATGAATATATCATGATAATGAAGAGAAACCTAATATAATTAGATCTTTATTTCTAAGGCCAACCTTATTAGAAGTTCTAATCCTAGAAGAATCCGAGCTGAGATCTCGTGGTGCTACTCCTATTGTTAAAGTGGTCGCTAACTCCAACTCCAACAATGTGGACTAGCTAATTGGTTAAAGCTGGCATTAAACCACCAATTTTATTTAAGTAATCAGCTCGATGTTGCTACAGCCATCGACGGTATTGCATCAAATTTGTGCATCGAATAACGTGATAAAATCTTTGAACGAGAATCGAATACAAAGTGTCACAGTTCTTCTTTCCTTTTGCTTAGATTTATGGGCTTGACCCGTAAAACTAACTTAGATAACCCCATTCTATTTTTAAGTTAACTCAATCCTGTTTGGGCCTATCTCAGATTAAGCTAAACATGTATTAGAATTTAGAACTCTTGGACTTCTTAATCAACTGGGCATCGACGATGATGTAGCCGTCACATTAGACTGCATTAATGACACAGCAAGTTCTTGCTTAGTGTGCGAAAGAGCTAAAGAGCCGTTGGAATCAAATAAATAAATAATCATATACAAATACCGAACTAATAAAGAGAAGGAAAACATGTGCGATTTATCCTAATGCATATAATGATAGCAGTTATATGATAAAACTCTCACACTTTTCATTCATGAATTACACAGATATATATACACCAGTAGTTACATAATACAAGAAGAAATGTAAGCTCATAATTACAGGCAAAACATGTGGTCTTGATAAATAGAAGGCACAATTTATGGAGTTGACCCAATCAATGTAATTAGTCATTTAAGCTGTCTATTATGCCCCCGCAAGATAGGCGTCCCATCAAGAACACTTAGCTTGTGACGATGTCGTTGAAGCGAAGCTGCTGGCAGAAGAGGGGTTTAGTGAGTGAGTCTACTAGTTGATCAGCCGAATGAATATGTTGAACACGAAGCAAATTCTTGTTCACATGGTCACGCACAGAATGAAAGTCAATGGCAATGTGTTTCATTCAGGAATGAAACACGGGATTGGCACAAAGATAAGTTGCTCCAACGTTGTCACAATAAATGGTTGGTGGCTGGGAGTGTGAAATATGAAGTTCATGAAGTAAGTTAGAGACCCAAAGCACTTCAGCAGCAGTGGATGCCACAGCTCTGTACTCAGCCTCGGTTGAGGATCGTGCCACTGTTCGTTGCTTTTTAGAGGACTAGCTGATTGGGTTAGCGCCAAGAAACACCACATATGCTGAAGTGGAAGTTCTATCATCTGCATTCCCAGGCCAATTAGCGTCGGAAAAGGCGTGGAGAGCAAAATTCGAGGAATGATGAAGATGAAGCCCATGACAAATAGTATGTTTGAGGTATCGTAAGACTCGTTTGACAGCAGACCAATGTGTATTAGAAGGACGATGCATAAATTGAGACAACTTGTTTACCGCAAAAGAGATGTCGGGTCGAGTAAGAGCAAGATATTGAAGTGCTCCAACAACTTTTCGATATTGTGTTGCGTTTGCAGGAGGAGCGCCATCAGTAATTCGCAAACATTCTAAGGTGGATAATGGACTATGGATCTTTAGCTTCAGTCATATTAGTTTTCTCAAGAATGTCTTTGATGTATTTGTGTTGAGAGAGTAGCAAGCCATGGCTAGTACGAAGCACTTCTACACTAAGAAAATAAGTTAAGGAGCCCAGATCTTTCAAAGAAAATCTGTTGGAGAGAGCATCAATGACCTGCTGTATATTTGCTTTGTTGTTGCCAATGACAATTATATCATCAACGTAGACAAGCAAAAAAGTGGTTAGCTGCCCTTGATGAAAGGATAAATAGAGATGCATCAGAGTGAGAGTTCACAAACCCATAGGCTAGAAGAAAACTTTTTAATTCTTGATACCAGGCCCTTGGTGCTTGCCAAGGCCATAAATGGCTTTTCGTAACTTACAGACATGATGAGGAAATTGATTGTCAACAAAGTCAGGTGGTTGCTGCATATACACATCATCAGAGAGAGAGCCTTGGAGGAAGGCATTATTTATGTCGAGTTGCCGAAGAGACCAATCGAACTGAACTGCAAGTGATAGAATAAGACAGATTGTTGTTGGCTTTACGACATGACTGAACATGGCATGAAAGTCAACACCGGCTTGTTGGTGGAACCCCTTGGCAAAAGTTGAGCTTTATAGCGATCAATAGACCCATCCGACTTTCTTTTTATCCTGAAAATCCATTTACACCCAACTATATTTTGTGTGTTAGAATGGGAAAGTAAATCCCAGGTTTGATTGCGTACAAGAGCATCAAATTCATCACTCATGGCAGAGCACCAATGAGAATATTTCTGAGCTTGGGTGAAAGAAGTGGGTTCAAATGTTTCAAGTTTTGGTTGAGATGTGGCA